CCGTAACGAAGTAAGGCTAAAACAAAGCTTATGCTTCGTGCATAATTTACATGAATATGAAATGCGCTGCAGCTGTCATGTTTGCTGTCTTAAAGAAGTGTTTGTCGCATCTTGGCCGGAACTTATCAGCTATTCATGACAATCACTTCAACAAAAGGGACAAAGTGCATCACACACGATAGAACTTGTCCTGTCATAATTTAAAACAGGATTAATGGTAGTACCGCAGTCTTGACAAAATTTACAGTTATTCGGACGGCGACTTACGCTTGTAACACGACTCCGAAATGTTAGACATGTCAGTCACACACGAGAGAATACCGTACTTCGTCATATATATATATATATATATATATATATATATATATATATATATATATATATACAGATATACGTATAACCCCCACAATGTCCATTTTTTACATGCATTGCAAGCATGCGAGCTGCCGTCAAGGGCGGCCTATAATTTGAAATACCAAATTTATTAGTGCAACCCATCCGAGCAACGGTTGTGGTGCTGGGCTCGGAATGATCAACAGAGATAAAGCACATTCCGCCGAAACAAAATGCCTGATAACTCAACTAGGACGCACCTCTCTTGGCGACACTTTGAGGGCACATGGTTCCAGTTTCGTCGCCAGGTGATCTCCGGCGTGGGCTTCCCCACGGCGCGACACTTGATGATGAACACGTCACCGATGCTGATGACCACTACTGATGGCGGCTGCTCAACGATCACCGGGCTCGCTAAAAAACCAATACAAGGTCACCAAAACGCGAACCTTTCTTCCATATTCAAAAAAGGTAGCAGCCCAATGCTGCCCCCCCCCCCCCCCCAGATAGCCATTAAAAAAGTCTGCAAGGAACTGGGTTACATTTGTTTACATGTGACATTTTCAAATGTCTTGGACAACTTATTTAAAGTGCTATTGGTTCATGATTTTCGAGGAGGCATTGTAAGAATTTGGTACATTTGATTACATGAGACCTTTTCAGCTGAAGTGGTATAGGTCTGTGGCTTTGGAGGAGATGCGCATTCCCCTTTTAATATCGGTGCTACAATGACAAGTGCAGTGATACCGGCAGTTTAATGGTTAAGTTACGCGTATGAGAAGCCGGAGGCATTCCAGCCTGCACCTGCATGGTGAGAGCCTTGACAGGGTTAGGAAAGCTAGGAAAATCACAAGTTTCCCCAACCGGCTTGCAAGATATTTGGGGTCTCCCAAAGGTTTCTGAAGCGCTTTGACGTGCGAAGTGTAATATTGCCAACAACATAATTATCGCCCTTGAAACACCATTGTAGTAAACGTCGTCCATATCCGAGAGATTAAAGTGTAAATCTACCCTCCAACTCGTCGATCTATCTTGGAGTACTCCAGCAGTGATGCGCTGAATGTTTAAGGTAAGCCGGTTGTGAGTACTTTGCAAACTAAACAAACCCGATGACGTGATATCCGTTGAGACGCTAAAAGCTAGTTGATTTCCTTGAAAAACTTTGAAACTGTGCTCGGTTTTTTCAGCCACTGATAACCTTGGCGGCAAAGTATACGATTTTCTAGATCCAGTTTTCTTCGGCATTGCACATGTTCCTTGAATTTTACAAAAAGTTCAAGAAATGCTTTTAATATTAAATTTACAAGATGAATATCACCATTCGAGCACTCATGTTAACAGATTTAAGTTAACATATTAAAGTTAACAGATTAAGTCAAATCAGCTGATTGCAAAATGTTGCCAGAAAAGTGGCAGTCTTTATATCTGTTTAACTATTGTTATTTTTCTTGGTATCATACGAATGTGATACCACTTCATTCTTCCTTTCTTTTGGATTGCCTTTAGAGGTGTCATCTGTTGCTTACAATGTTGACCAGTTTCTCTGCAACATTCTCCAACTGCAAACCTGTACGCATTTCATACACAAATTAGATTAATTCGCCAGCCGCCTAAACATGTTTGATATGCACCCAAGAGTGAACAATTCACAGGGAATGAAGGAGACAATTTGAAGCACGGAGCCTATTTTTACCGCCCCTTTTGCCCTGTTAAACCCTCGGTTAACCGTTGTCTTGGTTCATGGCGGTGCTCAATAATGATAAATCTAAGCCTTTCGAGTGTCTAACGCACCAGGCTACCCGACAAGGCCATCCTGATGCTGCCATACAGAGCTTTGGGACAGACCTGACGCAGCTATTACAGAAGTGTTTGATGGCGACATTCTGCCCTCTGGAGATGTTTGTCATGCACACCTCTTACTGGTTTCTCATTTTAATCTTGTCGGTTGGTGGGCATGATTTATATTTGTATTTGGGGGATGAGTGGGATGACTCTGTCTGTCAGCAGACCATGCAAAAGGTACTGACTTTGTGTCCTGGGGGAGCAGGAAGAAACCAGTAAGCCTCCTGTGGGCCAAGTAATTGCTTACCTTACCTGCGATCAGCACATGAGTGGTAACCAGAGTTAACCATTTTCTGTTTCAATCAATCGAGTTTTGTCATAAGACAAATTATGTTGCCACGAGGCATGCAATGGGCTTATTTTGTTCCATATTCTTGATTATTTGCCCCAAATTTCTTGAAGTGGTCCCTCACGGCTGCTTTAACCAGATGTGTTCTATAGTTGTCATGGTTTGCTGGTTGGCAAATGACTGTGCCGTATATATGCACCATATTTTAACACAGGGATACTCTATGCTGCATAGCAATTATAGTATGAGTTAAATATTAGTATGTAACAAATAGTCAGACCATCCCATTCAAAAAGTGGAGCCCATATGTCAAACTTTGCCATTGAATATGAACAAACAAGCCTAAATAGATGCCTTTGCTGCTGCTGAAATGCAAGCAGCAATACTGGCATGGTCATTTAAAGGTTGTGTTACTTTTGGAGAAGAGAGATTGTTTTGTGGAGCATACGCATTATTACTCTTGACATAGGCTAACCATGGCAATCAAAATAAGTTGTTCAAAAGTGATTTCAAGCATTTTTATTTGTGCTGTCAACTTTGTCTGATGTTAACATGCATACACGAATGAACTGAATAAAAACGCAAGTTGCAACCAGCCAACATTCAGTTACGTCATGCTTTTATCACAAGTGCTGCTGTCAAGATAGGTGAATGGAGATGATGTACAGCATATGGGCTACTCTAAGATAGGTCAAGTTGGTTGAGTGCATGGCAAGTGGCAATAGGAATTGTGCAAGAATCAGTAACCCACAACTGCTGCTGTGATACAAACAGGTTAGGCAGGATGAGATGAAGTAAGGCCTTTTTACGTTAGGCATAGTTAGGCTACTTTCATGGAATGAGCATTGGTATTTTTTTGTATTTTTTGGTAAGCATTGGTAAGAAACAGTGACAAAATGTTTGTTTTCCCTGACTCCATCTTAACAAAAGCCAGGGGTATGTCTATTGTGTTTGACTTGGTGATGGGCTGATGTGTAAGATTCTAAGATTTCTTTTTGTTTGAGTGTTTTATGCTTGTTAAATTTTCTGTTATTTTGTTATTGAATTCCTTTGCTTTATTTTGTGTTAAAGTGCTGTGGAAGGGAAGTGCAAAGTACACCATCAAATTATTGATGTCAATAACTGTGTATGCTCATTACACTGTCATGAAATTGCTATGCTTTAATGTATTCTGTTTTACTTTAACGGCTTAAGATGCTAAAAACCCAAAACCTTTGTCAGGTTTATGATATTAGCTCCATGCCAACTTGAAATAGATGTCTTTGTTTGCTGAAGCATCAGTCACGAGCTCTTAAGTTCCATCTTTTGTGAATAGATCTTTTCACTCCTGCACGGTCTTTTTTAGATGGAATTTTTCACTCCCATCCTAGTTCAAAAGCAATTCTAGCTCCCTGATCCTACACGTTCATACTTGAGTAGAGCAGGAGCTCCTCTAAGGAAATTGCATTTTGCAGCGGATCATTCGGTCAAATTCTAACAGCCAAGTAGCGAAGGAGAGCCACGGTGCCAAATTCTCTCCCTCCCGGGAGTCAGGATATCAGAGCAATAGGTAGAAGGACATGAAAAGGGCATCAGATGAAAAAAATATTACATTAAAAGGGCACTGAATGAACGTTAGATATCTAACAAATTTTGAGGAATTCGGTCAAAATTTACAACAATTTGGACGAAACGAGGCATTTGAGACCCTGAGAAAACTTTTGTCTACATGAATCCATAACCCATTTAGCATATAAAGGTTTTTTTGGAATAGTGTGGTCAATGTTTTTTTTTTAGTGGGTGGTGCTCGTGATCTCGTCCGAAATGCCTTTCAGCTATGAATTAGGTTTTTCTGGGCAGCGTATAACGCTATGGGTGTGCACTCATTGCTTAAAACAACTGATACACATGGGAGGTCATATGTGATCTTGCATATGCTATTCGTTGATTTCTATGTGTATTTGTTACGTGCGTAATGCTTGAATTTTCTGAGCCTATCTTCTAAAAGTTGGGTGGGCTGCATATCAAGTTGGAGGACTCAGTCGGGTGCTGAGACGAAGAAGGGCGCTGGTGCTGCAAGTCAGGTGCTGGAACGAAGTCTCTCTCCATCGACATGTGTGCCTGGACGCGTGTGAGCGTGACTGACCGCAGCCGAACTCGTCGCTGCCGTCCTGGCAGTCGGCGCGACCGTCACACTGGAACGTGCGCGGCACGCACTGCTGCCGGGCCGCGCCGCTGCTGTCGACGCACTGGAACTCGCTGGCCGAGCAGTCAGAGCCTGCCGAGCACACAGAAGGGGGCCCTCACTCGCAATGGTGGAGTTATTTGCGCGGTTTTGTTGAGAGTGGGAGTAAGCGTTGCGCGCTAAGATAAGGCTGCTTTGATTACGTTCTGAAGGTACGCTTTATTACACAGTCGTGGATCGGCATAGTTTGTTGTATTATTACCAGCGATTACATTGTTTCACCCGCAATGAAATCGTCATTTGTCATCTGAAATGTGCTGCACATGGGCGGGTGTGCGTCTGCCTTCAGACATGATATCCACCTCACTGGGCTGCCTCAACTACAGGTCATCTGCGATATTCTCTACTGAGACTTTTGCCTAACACGTGACGTGTGATGCGGATCCCCCTATGTGTGGATCGTCTGACCTGTCAGCGGGTCACCACAATCCCATTGTTTTTCTGAGAGTGGGTCACCAGTCTCGTCCGTTTCACCCGTCGGTGGGTCACCACAGTCCCGCTTGTTTGACCTGGGACCGGGTCACCACAGTCCCGCTTGTTTGACCTGGGAGCAGGTCACTACAGTCCCGCCCGTCTGACCTGGGAGCGGGTCACCACAGTCCCGCTTGTCTGACTCGGGGGTGGGTCACCACAGTCCCACTCGTCTGACCCGCGGGGGGGCAGGTACCACAGTCCTTTGCGTCTGGTCTGGATGCGGGTCTCCAAAGTCTCGTCCGTTTTACCTGTTGGTGGGTCGCCACGGTCCCGAACACCTCACCTGGGGGCGGATCACCACAGTCCCACTTGTCCGACCTGGGACCGGGTCACCACAGTCCCGCTTGTCCGACCTGGGACCGGGTCACCACAGTCTCATCTATTTCACCTGTCGGTGGGTCACCTCAGGTCCCGAACACCTCACCTGGGGGCGGATCACCACAGTCCCGCTTGTCCGACCTGGGACCGGGTCACCACAGTCCCGCTTGTCCGACCTGGGACCGGGTCACCACAGTTTCATCTATTTCACCTGTCGGTGGGTCACCTCAGTCCCGAACACCTCACCTGGCGGCGGGCCGCCACAGTTCCTGCTCGTCCGAGTTGTCGCCACAGTCGTTGTCGCCGTCGCAGCGCCAATGCTTCATCACGCAGATGCGGTTATCGCACTGCATCTCGTTCGGCTCACACTCGTCGCGAGTGCCTGCAAAAGAAAGCGCTGTTGGGCACAACCTTTCTGGGCGTGGGCTTCGCTTGTGTCTGTAGTGAGTGTGATGTGTCGGTTTGGCGCAAAGTTTCGTATCATTTTGTGTCGATGTTTACTTATTTCCCCATTTGCGCACAATTAGTGTGTTCATGATTAAGTGTAAATTCTTCTTTCTTTGGGATGGGTTATTGGCCGTCAGCGGCTCTTCTCGACGACACGACAGATATTCACCGATTCGAAGCCACCTTTCCTTTTACGTATTCAACATAGATGCCTTGTAAATATCTCACAGGCAAGGGATCAGCCTGCCTTTGGCCGTACGGAGCAGGCAGAAGCATGCGTCCAGAAGTGTTTGGCTGTTTCCGGAATGTGCGCACTGCATAAACATTAAGAGCATGTGTAGAAGTAAAACGGCCAAATTAGTACCACACTGGTTTAGCGCTTGCACGCCATGCGCTCTCCACAAAGGTAGAAGCGTGGCTATGCATAGTAAAATGGACAAGTTAACTTCGCGCTCGCTCTTTATTCTTGATTGAGCACGGCGCTCGTCATGGCTTCTTGCCACTTGGACGATTTCGCTGCTCAATTTCGTTGGCCGCCTAGGAGTAGAGATTTCACGCTGTGAGCTGAGCTGCACGCGAAGTTCCGCACATTGCCCCTCGGTCGTGGTTCTGATCTCTACATGTACAAAGGTAGGTATGTACCGCTTTGCATGTGAAAAGTCAAATGCTCACCGTTATTCACAGCCATCAGACATTTGGGTTTCGGTATGACATGCTGCTGGCCATGACGCTACCCTGTCATTTTGGTATGACATGCTGCTGGCCATGACGCTACCCTGCCATTTTGGTATGGCATGCTGCTGGCCATGACGCTACCCTGCCGAGTGATAAAAAGCGGTCCAGCAACGGTGGCTCAAGTACGCATCACAGCAGGACGTGTGTGCACTGAGCGGCTCATCGAGTTCTCCTGAGTACAAGGCAAGTCAGTTAGCTGCGTCTCCATGCGCCGCACTCGCCGCACTCGGCTGCAATATCGCATTGCAGGGCTGCATTTTCATGAATACATTGCAGCCCATTGAGAACTTGATATGCGTATCTGTTCTTTTTAATTTTCCACGCAAATGGCTGCATTTGTGTATTCTGTTCTCCATTTGGCATGCCTGTATGTCCGACACCAATGAATAAACGGTAGTTGAATGAGCTACCGCTAGATCCACCTCACACACAGCACGTGCGCATTCCAACATTTTGCTTTAAAAAAAATGCGGCGGGGACTGAGCCAAGGGTATAGAAACGGTACTATCTGAGCAACCGAGCACTCTGAGCAATAGTATTGACCTGAAGGGCAACAATCGAGCGGTGGTATTGACCTGAAGGACAACAATCGAGCGGTGGTATTGACTTGAAGGACAACAATCGAGCGGTGGTATTGACCTGAAGGACAACAATCGAGCGGTGGCATTTTGGCGTCACAAAAAGGAGAGCTTGCAACCCTCTGGGTAAAGTTGATATTTAAACGAGATATTCCACAGACTAACGAATAAATGGTTGGTACATGCAGGACATGAGTCGGCGAATGCGGGGATATAAATTTACTCTCGACTCTGGCGACAGCTTCGACGACAGCATGTTGTATTCGGCTCTGATCTTCCAAATGCCGACGTTTCCGGCTTGTCCGACTATTACTGGCGCAACCGTGCGTCGCTCAACCTCGTGTTCCCCACGCGTAATGCAGGCAGTACGTTGGTTGACGTTTAAAAGCTGGATTCACGCTTCCACCGGCTCTGGCTGCCGAGCTGTGACTCAAAACGTGAAACACGTCGAAAAGGCCAAATTGTTCTTGAACGCTTTTGCGCGCATCACGCGGGGCACGTGCAATCACGCACGCGACTCGGAGCGATTCCCCGTTCAACGGCCTTTCGAACGGTACCGGTTTGGTGTCTTTCCGACCTTTCACTGTTGGAAATATGGCCGCTAGTTTCGAACGGCTGCTCGCCCGTTTCCCGTAGGTCACATATCCAAGTGTTTCTTATGCAAACCAGCGGACCTAGAGACGCTACTTTTGGTACGTGGCACACCCGAAACCTGGACCGCAACGACTTGAACCTTATGTGGAAAACCGCCTCATGCGCATGTGCATCGTTTGCGAAGTTCAGCCCCGTATCTCTATCTGCTTGACCTGCACACGAGTTCAATGAAAAAAGACAGAAAAGGTAGACAGACAGGCAGACAGAGGCACCTTACACAAATAGTAAACATAGAAGTAGGACTCATCGGCCTTTGGCCAACGGCTTCGCCTACTTTGTTTTACAAATCAATCGTGACCACGCATGACGATTAGTCACACAAATATTGAACACATGGGAGTCTTCTGCCAATCTAGAGGCCTTTTCTTAGGCATCTGCCCACCACCGGGCAAACGTTGTGGTATTGGTCCATGGGAGGCAAACGTGGCGCCGAAGGGTGAACTTTTTTCGCAAGTCAGTTTTTTAGTGTAGCATCATGGCGTAAATCCCTTAAAGCTTTGACACAAACACAGCACTGGATGCTGACCTTCCTTCCCACCGTCCATATCAAACTGCTGTGGGTGGGTTTTTGCGCAGACTTTTGCACGCATTTGCACGCTTGCTTGGCTGCGCTCTTTCGAAAATGTAGGCATTTGATTATCTATGTCATGCAGTTGGATTCACGTCTCGAGCTGCTCTGAATGTAGAGGCTTGGCACAAAACGTGAAAAAGAGTCAACAACGGCCAAATCTGCGTTGCCAGCTCGTGTACGCCGGCCACATGGCACGCGCGACGTCAGAATTCGCGCCACGTGATCGTCAATTTGCACCACGTGATTGTCAATTTGCACCACGTGATTGTCAATTTGACTCTCTATCGAAGCATGCCAATCCCGAGTGGCTCCGTGTTTTGGGTGCAGAAGTGTGACACAAAACAGGTAAGCCCGTCAAGAATAACTAAAGCCATCTTACCGTAGCATGTCGTCGTGACACGTGGCCTGCGCGATCTTGCCCTTGACACGACGCGGTTTGTTATTAGATTCTCAATTTGAAGCATGACATTCTTGAGTTGCTCCGTGCACTAGAGATACGGAGCAAAAGGGGAGAGATGTCCAAAATGGCAACATATATTTGCCAACTCGCGTCAGCGTGACGCGTGGCACGTGTGACGCAGCGCTTCACACCACGTGTATGCCAGTTCAATGCTCTATGGAATCCTACCACTACTGAGTGGCTCCGACCCGTCGTAGTCGGAAGTAAACGAGGTGTGAGGTCGCTGTCAGCAGTACATGAGGCAGTACACTAGGTAGTACACAAAGAAGTACACCTAGAAATACATGCCCCGTTTGTTTTTAATTGCGCTCTGTCGGTTTCATCCATGCTTAGCAATGCTTTTTAGTTGGTGCACTTCATCTCACAATTTTGCTAGAACTCGAAATAAAATAATGACGTTATAAATCATTGATAAGTCTCATGAGGCCAAACTACCACCTACAACCTTTTGGGCCTCAGCGTATGCAAATGACCCAAAAGGAAAAGTTCTACTCAAGATGGTAATGATGAGTACGCAGAGCCCGTAAAACTATGTGGCCTGTGCCACCAAAATGAGTAAATAAAAGGAATACGCTTGTCCTGATGTGTTTCGCAACACTGCTGGCCGGAGGACAACTATTTTTTGTTTAATGATTTATATTTCATAAAGCGGTTTTAGCCAGCAAGGACTCCGCTGACTAGGCTGGGCGATGCTGACAATAAATGTGAATAAAAACGTACGACGGCTGACGTATGGGGACCTTGCGCTTTCGGTGGATATCACTGTTCACTGTTTGTGCACTCGACCAAGCATCCTGTGCTGTTTCTCCAAAACGTACTGCAAACCTCTTGCTTAAACCATGACAGTTCTCAATGAAGCACGCTGTACCTATGATAGTCTGAGTCGTCACGCGCTCGTGGGGCCGATTTGGTCTGATTTGGTGTAAGCCATCGCGTGGTGCTCACTGCATCTGTTCTCGTCGGAGCCATCCGGACAGTCCTGTCGCCCATCGCAGATGTAGTCCGCGTTGATGCAGGTGCCGTCCCCGCACGTGGCCTCGTCTAGACCGCAGCGCCGACTGGGCCGACCATCTGCCGGCAACCGAAGGTCACGCTGCTGACAGAAGGCTAGGTATGTACACAAATGTGAGTCGGCGCTTAACGGCCAGATGACATGGTGTAAGCCGCTCAAACCTGTGCTGAAAACACTGACAACACGAAAGCAGCTGTCGCATGCTAATTCTGCATAAATGTCAAACTTAGAATATGTTTAACCATTCGCTCAACTGATAGTTGTAATTTTTCGGGCAGAGGTTTTGAAATACACAGCACATAGTTGAGGTGGATGATGAGGTTTTTTGGACTAAAATGAATAGGGGCATCTCAGAGCACGGTGTTTGCATAAATCCCAGTTACCCTATTGGTCTCAGATTTATTGTTATTGGACTAGCAATCTCGCCGCATGCTAGATGGGTTTGGACGGCATTTACGCATGGCGTGGCTGGCTTTCGGGGCGCCTTTTCACCTGTCGTGGTAAAATAATGCTCGATTATTTGACAAGAAGGCGGTGACTTACGTTCCGTTAGCGGCAACCAATTCTGCCATGCTGCTTATGAGCAGACCAGAATGGCTGGTCGGGCTGTCAGATATGAGCACAAGTCTGCTTTAATGGACAGGGTAGTTGCCGGATGTGATCCATTGGAAGGGCATGGACATGTCACAGAGATATGTACTTATAACCTCAGAAATCCATTGGTTAGGTAGCAGGAACGGAGGGGTCACGGCTGGTCTAAAGTCAATAATCGTAACCAATAGGTATGAAACATGTGCCAACATGTGCCAACTATTACATTTAGATGCGCCCATAGGTGTAAAATGTAGCCAGATATGTGACTTCACTGCTCCTCAGAAACAGCTAATTATTCACTTCCGGTAATATTTAATTTTGTGTTGTAAGGCGAAATCATGTGTGTTTCACCCACAGTAATGGAAAAGTGAGGCACTAACGCTGATGCATAGTAACTATTTGCATCATCAAAAGTGAACAAATGAGTTGCACTGCATCTAAAGCCGACATCACCTAGGGTATCACACATCCACGACCGCCCGGATGGTTAAAAGTAACCCGCTGGTATCTTAAGATCCATTCATTGGACCGGAAGAACTAAAACGGCGATCGAAAGCTCTGGTTATCTGCGCTCCGGAACACTGTATTACAACATGGACAAAAATTAACAAAATCTTTGAATAAAACATTCAGGTCACGTACTGTCGCTCTCAGAGCTTTGCACAGGACACAAAAAGGCATGGTTTGTCTAGCAAAATCTTGCCGTGCCGTGTAGAATCGTGCCGTCCCGTGTAGAAGCGTGCCGTGTGGTGCAGAATCGTTCCGTGTCGTGCAGAATCGTGCCGTGTCGTGCAAAATCGTGCTGTCGTGCGGAATCGTGTCATGTCGTGTAGAATCGTGCCTGTAGAATCGTGCCAGCTCACCAACCCATGTCTAGGCCGGCGATAGCCCTTAGGCACCCCAGTAACTATATGGAGTGTCGATGAAGGCTGTTTTGCTTTACCGCGTTGAGGGTATTTGTTTATTGTGCGTCGGTGTGTTTTATCTGCGATTTCCCAAAACGCTTCAGCGCATTATTTGGTTTAGAGCCATCCCGTCGCTTTCCAGTTACATTCACGCAACGGTGAAGTGTGTGCGGTATTAGGCCGTCCGTAAGTCGATGTGTGACAACATCAGAGCAGGAGCATGTTTAATAAGCGTTGGCACTGAAGTCCATCGCCGTCAGGCACGGTAGTTTCTGCTTTGCCAAGAATAAACACCGACCTGACTGGTCGTGATTTCATCGGGTGATTTCACGAGGCTCGTGTGACGTCCCCCGCTGGAGCACACGTCAGACGACCGGGATCGTCTGCGGCGTACCCAGCCGTTCGGCAGCCCAGTGCGGCGTCGAACGGTGCGAGCTCCTCTGATGACTGGACATCGCCAACGTGTTTGTCGGCGTGACGCATCACAGGCTGGATTCCCACCAGGAAACCAGATAAAACTGTGGCAATCGTTAGTGTTGCCGTCATGTGCGTGAAATATTCATTTCAGTCAGGAGCTCAGCCTGGTTCTGTATAACCCATTTAAGATACGCTCTGATGGAAGATCTGGTTGTAGCGCTGGTGCTTTCCTGTTCGTATTGTACGTCCTACCCGATGACTGGTCACAGCGCATGTACCGGCCCGTTTATGTTTTATCACGTCGCTTTAGGCCCTGCTTGTAGCGGACATCACACCTACCCTAGGCGCGTGTCGTGCCAAGTCGTTCGTTGGTCCTGGTTGAGGTGGTCTGACCAAGCAGCCGAACCGACTTTAGTTCCTACTCCAGACTAATAGCACCAAAATCCGCTGGTCGCCTACTACCATATGCCAGGAACCTGCTGGGTTCGCGAGCCATCACGGCGAAAGGAACCTGATTGGTTCGCGAGCCATCACGGCGAGATGAGCCTGACTGGTTCCCGAGGCATCACGGCGGAATGAACCTGATTGGTTCGCAAGCCATCACGGCGGAATGAACATGATTGGTTCGCGAGCCATCACGGCGAAAGGAACCTGCTGGGTTCGCGAGCCATCACGGCGAAATGAACCTGATTGGTTCCCGAGGCATGATGGCGAAAGACAATCGATTGCCATTACTCAGTACAGTCAATAACTGCTCCCACGTTGTCAGCAGCTCTAGTGGCTTGTAGAGTACCGTGACGTATGAAAAAAGAATATTGCCTTGTGAGGGGACTCTTGCCTTATTAAAAGAGAATCTTGCCTTATGGAAGGACGATCTTGCCTTATGAAATGAGAATCTGGTCTCATGAAAAGAAAATCTTGCATTATGAAAAGACAGTCTTGCCTTTTTAGTGGGTCAGCCCCTCGTCAGACGTAGCGCAGGGTCGAATCGAGATTTTGGTAGGTTTCCATGCAACGCCAGAGGAACAATGGCAAATTCGGCAAAAGTTGGGGATTTATCTGTTGTGCCCCATTTACAAAGCTAATGCAGTGCATGCCTACTGTGGTTGTGTGTTAAGCCCCTCGAACTTGGTCCTACCACCCGAACCAGCGCTTTCTTAACGCTTGTATCAGCAGAATATCCTGTTTGTTGATAGCCAATTTGTATGCATTCAACAGTAAAACTTGAGGCTGTTCATTCGACTTCATGTTTTGGGGTCAAATGAACGATACGAGCTTTGCAGGGGGTGTTCCACATTTATATGGGGGCTTGAACTGAAATAACCGTCTTGAAGACCTTTCAGTGCTCTCCCCAATCTTGCTCTACTTAAGACCTAAGCGTCTGTAGTTTCTGAGCTATACGCCCGCGAAAATCGGGAAAGGTATATCGGAGAGAGTATTTCAAAGTCACCTTGGCATTCACAACGTCGTAATAATGTCATTCAAACCCTACCATTCCATAAGCCATGCAGCGATCAAGGCCAAAAAGTGTAATCGTCGAAGCGTTCATATTTGGCTTTCGTGAACGCCATTGCCAGGTATGACGGCCGTCAGTTGGCTTTCAATCAATGTCGTACAAGGTAGGACGATGCAATAAAAAACATAGCGCATTGAGGAGCATATGCACTACACAAAGAACTGTGCTGCCTAGAGTAGTCTTTTCCATTTAAAAAGTATACCAATAATTACCATAGTTATGAGTATACCAGTATATAAGCGAGCTTGTTGCATCATATCTGACACTTGCTTCAGCATCTTCAAATGTGAAACATTCCCTTTAAATTCAATTATTCGCTACAACTGCTATCGCCACCATACTGGCGCCATCCTAGATGCACAGGCTACAGGGGAGAGGCAAGTTGGCGGATGTCGGCAAATGTGCCAGCTTTCATTTTATCCAAAACAGGAAAGTAACAGGCCACCGGGGAGATGCAAGTCGGCGGATGTCGGTAAATGTACCAGCTTTCATTATGTCCAAACAGGCAAGTATTTACCCTTAAATGTGCTTCTAGCTTTACGGCGTTCTACTGCAGACACTGCTCGGGTAGCGCCAGTCATGGGTGGTGGAATACGGTCATGGAATAAGGATGTCCTGTATTGGATCAAAAATTCCCCGATCAAATCAAGCGCTGCTGTTATGGATTACGAATACGATTTTTGTTCTAAGAAGCCCTTTTTGGACTCGAGGCCTTTTTGAGGTGCGAAGGCCCTTTGAAAGGTCGTGAGGACCCTTATCTACATTAAGACACCGCATTTATAGATCAGCGGCCCTTTAATTGATTAGGAGGCTCATGGTTTCAAGTACAAGGTTCTTTATCAGGAAAAGCAAGTCGTTTGCAAAGTCGGGCAAAAGGAGGTCGTTTGCAAAAGCAGTGCCTCCTTTGCGAATTAGGAGGCCCTGCTTTCGACCAGGAGCACCATTTCTCTTCCCTGTGAAATTACTGAAAGTATTTAAGATCACTGACGATTCCTCGGCTGAATTGTAAAAAGGTTCCTGCACCCCAGAACATTCTTCGACAAAATGGCCAAATGGATCCTAGATTCCAGAAAGTACTGAATCCAGAGCTAAGGGAACTGGTCCCAGGATCCTGTTTATCCAAATCAGGCACATGTGTGCTTTTTGGGCACGGAGTCCCTTCTTTAGGAACCGATATGACTAGCGTGCACGGTTTGAACGACTTGGTGTGAGCTGTCCATCTCCACCGATGCCTGTAGGGTGTCACTGGCCCTCCACACCGCGCTCGCCTGACGGTACAGGATTATTCAACCTGTCGGTGCCGGCTTCCGATTCGTGTCGGTTCCACCTGCCCGTCACCCGCTGCGCCTGTCCACCCACCTGCCGCCTGCTGCGCGCCAGCCACCACCGCCAGCACCAGCACCGCCAGCACCGACCTCATGATGGGTCTGCGCGCGAGCACCGCGTCCAGCCGGCTCCGGGGGGCACACGGACGGCGAGTGGGGGAGGGCGTCCGGCTGCGCAGGGCGTGGGCAGCGCTCGAGGCTGCTCGTCCCGCTCCCGGCATACCGGCCGACATAAATAAACACATTGATATGGTTATAGGGTGCCGGACCACTGCAGCACCCGCCCTGACGAGATCGATCCAGTCAAGCCTGAGAAACAGGCACGCTGGCTCCAGGCCGGCGGCGGCTGTCATCGCACGGCTTACTGGTGGTCTCAAAACGCGGCAAACTATCGCCGCACGAAACGCAAAATGTGAAGATGTTCTTTATTGCTGGCATGACCACTGCTGCTGCTGAGAACAACACCCTTGCTGAGACTAGATGCGTTGTTGAAAACGAAGCCGCTGCTGTTGACAGACATTCATGAGAATGACACTGCTGATGACAAAAACTTTAGCCATGGCACTATGCCACAATAATGCGCTTTGCTGATGCCATTAAGCCGTCGCTGATGACAAAATATTGCAACTGCTGAAGACGATACCCAATGATGACGTCTATGGACCGGAGCTGTGGTCCTACGTCGGCCGGCGGGCAAGCACCGTCTCCTGGGCCGACGGGGTGGGGCTGTGGGGGGGACCAGTGGTCCTGCGCCGGCCGGCGGGCTGGCACCGTCTCCTGGGCCGACGGGGTGGGCCTGTGGGGGGGACCAGTGGTCCTGCGCCGGCCGGTGAGGCGGGCTGACGCCCTCTCCTGGGCCGACGGGGTGGGCCTGTGGGCAGGAGCAGCGGTCCTGCGCCGGCCGGTGAGGCGGGCTGGCGCCGTCTCTGCAGCGCCAGCGTCGGGCCGCGCGGCGCCGGGAGACGCAGGCCGTCGACACGGTCCGCCGCCGACCTGATGCCGTCCAGCCGGCCGGCGGGCACCGGTCCTGGCACAGCCCTGGAGGCCGCAGATAGCCGCTGCATTCCGGTCCGGCTGCAGCCAGCTGGAACGACACGTCGGGCGGACCCGGCGCACGCCAGCGATCATCAGCTGAACGGTATATACCTATCTGAAGGGAGATAAAAGTAGGGGCTGAAAGACTTTACCAAATGATTGCTATGAGAGGATTTTTGAGACAGGGCGAACTTTTAGGTGTTCCTATGAGATCATGCATGCTTGATTGCCTTTCAAATAAGCGACGCAAAAGAAGTCGCCGAAGTTCGCGTTTGTCAAAGCTTAGATTCAAGAGACCGGGATGTTTTACAAGGGGCACAAATGTGAGCTGCAGGAAATGATGTTAAACATGATTATCTCCTCTCAAAAGCTAATAAATGTGGTACAGTCCCTTCAGTCTCCATGTTGCAGCTTCTGCGGACGATTTATGTTGCGCATTACGGCTTACATTCATTGAAGCACACAATATCATAAAAACCCATGCTGCCCCTCACTGGTGTTTGTTCCATCTGGTTTCGGTTTTTCAGTTTGATCATCGCAGCAAATTGATTTGCGACTTCAGGGAATAGACAGGTTGTTCATATCCATGAGGCCGCTCAGGATATTAGCCAGGGTGTGGCATGGAACAGGTGCCTACAAGATGATTGAACGAAGCGGGTTTCGTGATTTATGCATTTCGAACCTGTTTTGTATGGAGCCTGGACAAGCCACTAAAGACGTCTTGCACTTTGGGCAGGCATTTACTAGGATTGAACACTGACAAGTTGGATGCGTTATGTACTCATCGGATAATGTCTAGATCTTCTCTAATTCATTGGGGGCTTTGCTTATGCTTGGCGCAATGTGACTGCTGCTGTCGCTTCCGCTCCACATAATACTCACTGCCTGTAGCTACTTGGAAAGAAAGACTTGTCCCGACTCGTCACCATCCTTCGTAAATCTCTCGTAAAGTTTGTACGAATGCCTTTGTTTGGTCAGGATCGCTATGACCGGCTCGTTGTAAACGAAAAAAGTCGTACACTTGTGTGATATTTACATGCATTTTGAACACACACACACACACACACACACACACACACACACACACACACACACACACACACACACACACCACACACACACACACACACACACACACACACACACACACACACACACACACACACACACACACACACACACACACACACACACACACACACACACACACACACACACACACACACACACACACACACACACACACACACACACACACACACACACACACACACACACACACACATTTCAGGAGCGTTTGTACTCTACAATGAACCGGTCATGGCCATCCTGGCCAAACAAAGACACCCGTATAAACTTTATGAAGGATTTATGTTGCGACGAGTCGCCAGTGTGAAATGGTGTGACGGTGTGAATCTCTACTTCTCCACCCATTACGGTGGTGTCAATTTTACTGCATTCAAAACTCTTGCATGCGTACTACACAGTCCTTAAACCATGTTCTTTAGATTGCAACAGAAGCTTCAGTACGTTATGCATTATAGTCGAGTACCTCGTGTAGTTTCGAAATAGTGGCCCTGAGTTAGCTCAAATATTTCCAGTTTCGTCAAGTTTCCAACACCTTGCCGTAAACAACTATTTTGCCGTACAGTGGTCACAAAACCTTAACGCTCGATCATCGTAGTTTATTCCATTCTGCATTTCAAAAAATTAAAGTTACGACACTAGGGTGGACTAAAAACCGTAAGTCTTGTCAAATTCTAAACGTTTTATCTGAAGACAGTACAGTTTTCACGACCGACCCTTGCGATTATCACAAGATCAATAACAATGGATGCACCGATAGCCTTGAATGCAGCCCATAATTATCTGAAACGTCGTCGTTTTATATCCTTTGGGAGGGGGTGGGCGGTCTGATCCCACCGATACTGTCTTTTACCTCTTCCACAATGCTGCTCTGAGCCCCCGCAATACAGGTGGGCACAAATAAGGTGCCCGATTGAATGCTAAACTGCCAAACAAATGCAGAAAATTTCCCAACTATTGATGCACTATATGCCTAGGCTCATCACGATTAGTATCATTCTCATTTTTTTATAAATATTATATTGTAGGTACCCAATATTTCATTATGCGAACACCTTCCTTGGTAAGACCAGTCTGTCTGCAGATGTTTGGTCATTGCTAAATAACCTGTTTTGAGATAACGAGCAATGTAATCCGTGAGCGGCAGTTTTTAAAGATGATTGGCGACAGCAATAGTCGATGTTCGCGCACACTTCAAATCGTGAAAACGAAAGGTGTTCCAGATGGGCCTCCGAGTGGTCCAAGATGCGCAACAGCTGAGGCTGCGGTAGGTACTAGATTGTCCGGTCGATTGCACACGGTGATGCTTTCCATTTGAAATCTGAAGGTGGCGTTAAGTTGTTACGGCATGAAATCCAGGGCCAATAGGTCCGGTGAGTGAGATGCCACAGTACGACAGCCTAAAGCTGATGTGAATTCCAGGGAAATGGTTATTGAATCATTCCATTGAAACCCGTGGCGTATGCGGTGTCGCCCTTCCTGCTGGAGCCACTCCTCATCCCGATGGAGCCCGTGAGGTCGCACCAGCTCAGCTGAGCTGAGGTCCCCTCTAAAAGGATATGAGAAGGGTAACAAAACATACTTCAGGTTCAGTGTTCTTGAGTTGCAATTGACCATCTGATACGTGTTCATCGAAATGGGAATTCGTTGATAGATGCATCTCTGAATATCCGGAGTCAACCGTCGCCAACTTCATGAGCGTCGGCAGTTTCAAAAGTGGTGCACCCAGGAAGAGCCAAAGCTGAACAGTTTCACGTCATTCCAGAATGCGGACAATTAAGCGCTGAAATCCACCGGTGAAATTGTCACAAAACTATCAATACCCGATTCCCCATGGTCGATTATCTCGTTGATTTGCTGTTTTTGGGGGCTCCTTGTTGTTTCATAGGGTAAGCAGTCAGGGGCGGTAAATGGGGTGGGGGGGGGGGAACTCCGGATAACAATTATCATAGGTACGGTATATGAAAAAAGTAAGCGTCACGTTTCGCCACTTCCTACCGTCACAAAGGCTCGGACTACTGCCGGGCCCTAGTCAAGTCAAAGGAAGTCAATTTCACCGAGTTGTGATATTCTTGTTGATCGGAATGTGGTGAAGTTGACGACCTTCGAGTTGACCAAAGGTCAGCATTTATGGAGCGACGCTTGGACCTAACCAAACCGTTCCGAACGGTGAGAGTTCCCTGACAATAACACGGATGAATTGTGAGGACAAAGCCTAGATCGAAAACTGATTTACAAGTTCCCTGTCGTACTTAAGTCCGTATCTTCAACGCCAGGGACCACGGAAAAGTGTGATACAATGAAATAATTCCAAGAAGGAGAATCTTCGTCATCGGACCCTCCAGTGAATTTGGCAAAGGAAATATTTTGAGTCAAAGCAACAGTGTAGCGGTAAATTGGATTCTAGCCTGGGTCTGCAATTGCACTTGAAATATTGCTTTTGGCGCTTTTAACGCATCTTAACTTATATCAAGAAACTATGTAGCCACCGTTCAATCAACTTATTAAAGTCGAGCATTGATTGACGGTTAAGGACAATCAGCGGTATGGTTTTTAGTATATGTATGTCATTTACTAATATCAGTATTTTAGTCCCTCTCCTTGTGACGCGTCATACCGTAAATACTGCGCCATGTAGGCCGCAGTTTATGTAGCCACTTAAGCTCTGATTCCCTACTGGTTGCCGGCTGGGATCCCGCCTAGTGATTTGCCGTGGAAGGGGCGCTGAGCGTGGTGTTTGTTCAGAGTGGATTTTGGATGGTCAAGACTGTTGGGAGGGGCCAGTGTTCAGTATTTGTATTGAACTGAATATAGGCGACTGGTTCGTCGTGAAATAGGCTCCCAGTTGAGTGCCCATCATCTCTTAATCGAGGCCAACATTTGCATCTTGGTTGTTAGTTGTGAACTCAACTAACTTTCAAGATGCGGACTGGACTGCTGGTAAGATTTTTGCGTAGTTATAGTAGTGATAAAATAATTTCCTTGCCGTACATGAGCACGTTGTACTGTACACGGATTGGCAACAACATGCATATTGTGTCTAACTTACATAAACATATTGTACATCAATTGCCCTCTTTAAGACAGAAAACTGCAGCACAGATTAACAGTAATGACTTCAGCAATGGTTTTTGCACTTTTGTCTAGCATATTTTCATCCAACACTAATTTGCTGATGGTTGTTTGGCTTTAAGGGTAACTGGTCCATGTGGTCCTGGCTGTACAAACCTTCATGCACATACAGTTTGATATCTGGGTTGTGTGTGTGTGACATGTGTGCATATTTGTGTGCATGATTGGAGTTTTATTGCGCCTAGCTGTGGATGCTTTACGGTATCACCTGCTTCTCACCCTAGTGGGAGTCAGCCTGTAGTGGATGAAAAATGGATCCACTGTGCAAGATGCCTGCATAACATCAATGTTATTATTGCGTGCACCAAACTCAGGCCAGGATACATTGCACAGAATTTTGGGATTACTTAAGTATGATGTTTTTTGCTCAATTTCATGTAGAATTTCCTCAGCATCACAATTCCTTGAAATATTGATTCTATGTCCAGAAGCTGAAATTGGTGGCTGAACAAGGTGTGTCAAGCTCCCAAGCTCTGAGTGTTGTGTACCTGCACACCTGCACTGAAATGTTGGTTTAATTTGCCCTGCTGAACATGTTCATGTTGGACATGGGACATGTTATGTTTGTTTGGGGTAACATGTTTTGCAGTCCAGGCAGGAAGGGTGGGCACTGAAGGAAATTGACTCTCATACCAGTCATAGTCTCACACCAGTCAATTCAATACCCCTGGTTTCCCAGGCAAGCAGCTTGACATCTGTTGTTTGAGTAGTATGGTAGCCTCAAAGTTCCATGTTTATTATTGCCCATGATTATGATGCACCTGTTTGAGGAAGATGTTCTTGCAAATGCTGGCTGGGTCGTTCAATGACAATTTGCTTGATCGGGGCATTTAAGCCATAGGGTTCCTCCCCATTCAAAGCCTTCATTAAAGCCATGACAAGTGTGGTTGTTCTTATTTGGGATAGGTGCATGTCAATGTGTACATATCCACATCCAGCTATTATTGGGGTCACTTGTATGTGACTGTATAGGAGCATTTCTTCTCAGCTTTGCTAGCTATGACTTGTGGAACAACCTTTATTGAGGTGCCATTTTTCTACTGTGTTCATAAATCAACAGTAAAAAAGTTCACTTCTATTAGCCCTAGCATAGTGTCATTGTCAACAATGGCTGCCAGAAAGTATCATTAAATTGAGACCCTGGATTAAGTGGCCTGATATGAACCCCTTGTGTGAGTGAAGAAAATATGTTGTTTTATGCTAAGATGAATCCCTTTTCCAGGAGCCATCTTTATACAGTGTGAAGGGCATGGCAATTCTGGATAATGATGGCAACAGAATTTTGACAAGATACTATGATACAGAAACATTTCCAAGTGCCAAAGAACAAAAGATGTTTGAAAAGAATCTATTCAACAAGACACACAGAGCAAGTGCTGAAATAATAATGCTGGATGGTCTTACTTGTGTGTACAAAAGCAATGTGGACCTTTTCTTTTATGTGATGGGAAGTTCACATGAAAATGAAGTGAGTACAGTCTTTGGTTATGTGCACTGTTAGATGTATGCTGTATGCTGACTACTCTGTAGTTTGTTTGTTTTCTCAAAAAGACTCATATGAGTGGACTTGGTGTGCTGATTATGTTACTGCTTTGGCAGTGTCCGACTTCCCAGCCATGGGAAAAATGTAAATCAGATTCCGCCATTTCGCCACTATTTGTAACTGGATTGTGGACTGAAGCTGTCTGTGCACCCACAGCTGATTCTGATGTCCGTCCTCAACTGCCTGTACGAGTCTGTCAGCATGATCCTGCGGAAGAACATCGAGAAGCGTGCTCTACTGGACAACATGGACGTCGTCATGCTGGCAATGGACGAGATCTGTGACAATGGGTCCGTAGATGGAGGCTTCTGTTTTTCTGTATTCCTAAAACCCTAAATGGCTGGGCAGGAACCGCTCATCTCGTGTAGCGCGCCACACCCGCACAATCGACCTTGAACGCCGTCCGCCGTCGCGACCTGCGGCCATGCCATGGTGGTTGGATTGAGGGAGAGTAAATGATGGGTTATCCGCCTCTGTCGCGACCCGAGCGTTATCGTTGAGGGCGTTATCTTTCTTACGTACGGTACGTGCGTAACAAGGTATAGTGAGGTACGGCGCGCAGGAGGCACGCCTGCGATCGACTAACATGTGCATGCACTCTGTTTTGCGGCTTCGAGATGACGAGTGAAGCCCATTCGTGTGCTCCGAGATCACAGCTGCCAGGAGCCGTGTTAGTGACCGAGCGCTGGCTGACCGCAGCATCATCATGGAGTCGGACTCTGCGGCCGTGATGCAGCGGGTGGCCGTGCGCACTGACGACATCCCGCTGGGCGAGCAGACGGTGGCGCAGGTGAGACGCGCACGCGCCCCGCACTCTCCCTCAACGGCTGAGTGCGCGCCGAACGGCCGGCGGTCATCCCGATGGGGACGAGCCGGCCTGTGGCTGCCATGTTTTGGTCGCAATATCTAGCCACTTCGTGATGGAAACACTAGGTGATGGAAACTTAAATCGTGTAGAATTGATGTTAACATTTTTCGATTATGCGTGTGCATTTTGTGGTCATGGTTATGAGGCAGCCTTCGTGTATGCCCATGGGCGTAGGCAGGTTTTCGCGATATGGAGAGGCAATGTCTCAAAATTTTCCACTGAAGACCTGTAAGCATGCTGCAGGTGCCTGAACTTTGTTACATGGTGCTCTATGTTAGATGTTAGTAACATCATATTAGATGCATTGACATGTAACAATGTTAGATGATATCAGACATTCTTGATCTCCTTGTTTTAATTGTACCCAGAATTTGTTGGTGTTATTTATTCATGCTCATATGAATGCATGCAATGCATTTTATAAGGGGGGATGTGCCAGTGAGGGTCTCTATGTCCATATGTCCCAGATGGGGGTAATTGTGCTCGTGGACTGTGGTGGCTCTCAAACAGCTGGAGATAGTGTTTAATCGAGGCTTCGCTTGATTTGATCGTTGCCCCTACCGAGACCGCATTGCTCTTTCCCAGCATGACACGGGCTGCAGCAACCCACCCTCTCCTCTGTTATTCATCTGTTTGTGAGGTATCCCTCGAGCTGTTCGTTGCATCGTAATGCAGCTTAGACTAGTTAATGGTGTTCAGTTCCTTGTTACCGCAGCAGCAGTGATCAGTGCAAATCTTTTCTCAGGACCTGGCAGTTTTATTTCTTTTCTAACTGATCTACTGACCTATTACCTTCCTTCCAAGTTGTGCACGGCAATGATACGGAAAAGAACATTCCGAAACGCTTTCTAAGCTGCGCAGGAACCAAATATTGTTGTCAATGGAGGAGAAATGAAGCAAGCGTCATGATGACCTTCGTCAGTCTCGTTACTGTTTCTAAGATAGTTGTAAGTCAATGTTTCTTAATGCCAAATATTGGGATTGGTCGTGGATTTGGACCTGAGCGACGACTGATGCGATAGGTTAGCGTTTCACAAGGTCAAGGTCATGTATGTACGTGTGTCAAGTCGGTGGCACGTTCGTCGCCCCGTCGTCGGCGGTCGTGCGCCGTGGTGTGCGTGTGCGGAGCTGGTGCCGCGGCGGCGCTGACTGGACCCGTCTGCACGCCGCAGGTGAAGGCTAGGGTGTCGGGCCTGACGGGAAGCGTAAGTGGCCGGCGGGACTGGGTGTCTGTGGCCGCGCCGGCTTGTGCGGTGGCGGTGAGGGGCGCGCGCCGGCGGCCAGCCGCTCTCCCTGCACGCTCTGGCCAAGTAGGCCGGAGTCGGGAACGAATCGGTAGCCCCCGCGCAGATGCGACAGACGGCGATCTGGTCTAATTGCTTGGGCCGACAGGGCATGGACAGCGTAACGGGCTGCAGCCGGGAGGCGTCACTAAGTCATCCTGATCCGGTGCGCCGGGTGCGCTGCCGTCGCGGGCTGAGCTGAACAGTACCGTCCCGTGGGCTTGCTTAACAGACGCTGACGACACCAGGGCCTTGGCAGGCACCAGATTAGCAGCAGCGCATCAGCTGCTGAACAGGTTGACTGATACTGAACATGTGTCGCCAAAAGCCGATGCGCATGCTCCATCATCAGTGGGAACCACTGCTTCAGGAATTGGCCGTATCGTTTTACACATCAGTATGGGCAGGGGAGTTTCATGCTGACGTCCGGCGGTCCGTCTTCAGCCAGTCAGTTCGCACAGCCCGTTTGACAAGGTGGCTGCCATTCCGTCTGTGACAGATGAACGACGAAAGGATTGTCAGTTGGGACCTAGTAAATGTATAACCTTGCCGAAACGGACAGTTGTGTAGTGTGTTCCGCACGCTATATAACCCGAAATTGTCAATATGTTTTGCAACCGGGCTGTGAATTGTGATGGGTCGTCTAAGGGCATTTACTGGTGTGCCTCGCACTCGTAAGCTCTCCAGAAGTATTTGCACAAGGATCTTGGTGTTGTCTTGGTCGCTGGCAGAATTTACAGTGATTCGGGCCATGCTGATGTCTGCGACCACGCCTTTTATGTGGGATGAGTTGCGAGTAATTCGTCGAACCGTGCGTTCATGGAAAAGCTCTCCTAAGTGTCCCGTACTAACCCGAATCTTCGAAAAAACAAGTAAATCACTGAAATCACATAGTTTCCAAACGCAGTTTCAAACAGGCTTTCAGAAGTCGCTTTGTTCGCTGGTTACATACCAAACAGCGGTTATCTTTACTGAGCTGTTATTTCCTGTATTTCTCTGTTGGCGTGCCGTACGTAATTCTTTGTTGGCTGCACGCCATGGGTGGGAGCTTCTGGCGTGCCGTGGTCAAGCGTGCACGCGCGTTACAACCGATCGTGACTCACGCCATGGCCAGCAATGAGCACGAGTGGGAGTGTACCCTGTGAGCGCGCGTGCTGTGGCTGCGGTGGCGGCGGGGAGCATGCGGCATGCAGACACTTGCGTTTGTTTGTTGTGTGTATTTGTACAGCTGGGTCACAAGAAACCTTACACTTCTTGAGGTCTTGCGTGTGGTCGGGTTCTAACAAAGAGATGCGGCGGCTTTACCGAAAAAAACTATCGACGCAAAGGCGTTTTGTACAGGATGTGTTGGTATTATATTGTGGGTGGTCATGCTGCTTAAAAGTGGTGCGTGTGCGCAAAATAGAGGAGTTTTGTTATCTTTATCGGAAGCCAACTAAAATATTACTTATTTCGTCTTCACTTTCGTCCCGTTTTCGGCATGAATATGTTGTTTGCCACCAGATGTTAAGCCATGACTGAGTTTGAAATGATACTGGTAGTTGCGTGCTTACCTACGTAGAGCAATTATGAGTATTGTCTTCCATCGCGGTGCTTAGTGGTTCGTTCCATTAACTGGAAAGTAAACAATCAGGCTTAGCAAACCTCGTGAAATCACCCATGTTAGCGTGATAACCGCACAACAGAAATCTCGATTCTTATCACGCTGTGCCAACAGGAACGCAAAGCCCCTCCCCTGTCCCGCTTTGTGTTGGAGTGGCACGAATCTCACGTTTGTCAACTGACTGGGCTAACTGGTACCAGTTTGGGCATTTCTGCGCATGACTTGGCGAAGCTGTGCAGCTCGGCAGCTAAACAGGGTTGAATATACGGGTATATTTGCCCGCTCCTAACGGGTTCGCACACTGTACTGTTGTCGCGGGTGCAATACCTCATGAGTACGTTATTTCAAAGCTGTACTATGCCGGTGCATTTTGCTTTTGAAACTTGCGCTGGTCTTAATTCGATCATACCACCGGTCGCCCGGTAGTCAGAGAGCAGGTGGCGATATTCTCATCCTCTTCTCAAAAACAGTTCGCTCGTAGCCCGAACAATTTGCCCCAGAAAAGGACGTGACCTTTTAGCCCAGTTCCAGTTGGCTGATATCTAACTGGCTGATATCTACTTGTTGCAGGCGTTTTGATTTGTTTTCCCATAAATATGATGACCGGGGAGTGCCACATGTTTACTTGATGTAGATATTTTATTGAATTTAGTGAATCGCTGACCAGTTAGGCTATCCAACTGGGTGGGGCGGGGGAGGGGGAAAATGCGTTTAGTTCTGACTGGCCAGGGCCCAGACGCGTGGCAATCCCCACAAATCGAAAGGTTTTTTTTGCTAGGACGGCGTACACGTCTTGGGGTTTGGCCACCGCGTATTTCGAATGGTCAGTTTTGATGTGGCCTTCCCTCAAATCTATGCGGGTTTGAGTACGCATTACTTGTGAACCCCCATGCATGTTTCCAGCTCGTGCAAAGTATAAAGGCTAACTTTCACGACGTGGTCTCTGCCAGTGTTACGGTGCTGCTGGCTTTTCTACCCCATACGCCTCCTTGCGGCCGTTTTCTTAAGCCGTTATTGCGCAAGTTGTGGGCGGGACCCTGCTGGCCCTCCAGATTTTGTTGCACAAGCTAATGAGCCGCCCATGGCCGATGACAGGTGTTGCAGTCGGCCAAGGAGCAGCTGAAGTGGAGCCTGCTCAAGTAGCGATGATGCTCGTGACAAATCTGGAAGCCGACGGCCGCGATAGGTGGCGCTCTCGACCACCCGCTCGAGTTCACCCCAACGATGACGGCGGACAACGGCGGAGCTGCGGGGGAATGGAGAGGCCCTGCCATTGTGGGGTTGACTGCGGCGCTTTTACGCGCAGTCTTTGAGCGGGCCCCTATTCCGTTTGGCTTGTGATCGTGTTTTGCGCATGTGCACCTGTTTGTTATGGGTCGGATATATTTAACGTAAAGTGGCGAGGGAGGTGAAGCATATGGAAGAAAAATGTCATCGCGAGATTTTGTCTTTTTGTGGTTCAAAATCGATGCTATCGAAATAAATATCGTGCATTGGCCATCGTGTACATAGTTTCTGTTGAAAAGCAGACGTACAAAAATAAATGCTGAGAAATGACAAGAAACCTCACGCCCTCTCAAGAACTGCGGTAAACCCGCCAAGTGGTCGTGTTTCGTTTAGAGATGGTGTGAGTAAAATTAGATGTATATTTTACGCTAGATACGTAAGTGGCCAGCCTTTAATAATTTGGTTTGCTCATGATAATACAGTTCTACTTGAAGTCTGGGTGTGGCAACTGACAGTGACGTTGCTATTCGCCGGATAGCCTAATAGCTGTCACGGTACATTGCGTACACGACACCACCGTACACGGATATCGCGTGCACGGCCCCTCGAAGGCGATGCCACGATACATTTTTGGTGTAAGCATTTTGAAGTTTTTATGACGCTCTGAATGGTATCTTCAATGTGCGATTTTTATAACCGCGCATCCAGCAAGCATGCTCATCACCTTACTAATTTCGTTTCAGCGCGATTGCTTATAATCTGGTGTTGCGTCACTGTCTGCACAAAGTGAATCGAGAACCCATTTCCAGCTGTCGTTTTGAGAACATTTTCCCCAGTCTATGGCTGCCACAATTAAGGCTATCATCTGGTACAAGATTTGGGCCGTCACCTTGACCAGGAAATCTTTAGTTGGGTGCGGCACGAGACATGAATTGAAATGTACGGATGTGTTAAGCGTTTCGGCAAAATCAGAATACCACGAGTTCTTATGCGCACCAATATGGCGCCTTAAGAGAAAATACAAACATCGCGTTTCGTTTAGCCCACATTTCAATTCAGTGAAACGTTCGGATTGACTTAAGGGGCATGAGCAGTTCACCACGAGCAGTCGCGGTCGTTATGCGCGATTCGACACCACTCTAGTCTCGTTGCCTTGGACTGTGTCGGCGTGCCGCTTGAACGCGACGCAAGGTGGTAAACCTGTAGCTAAACTCTGGTTCTGCTGTCTGAGAACCGACCCACGATGGAGCTGAGTGCAGGACGGAGCCGCCGCAGCTCCGTGGTAGCCGGTGGATACGATGAGTTCTTCACGGTAAGACTTGGTGCATGCAGCGCAGCGTACTTCGGTGACTGAGAGCGTCACCAGGCTAGCTTTAACGTTTTCAGGTATGGCTGAGTGCGTGCCAGATCTCTCGGATTGCTCATGACCGGCGTGTTACCAGATCGTCACTAACAACTTTGTATGCAAGGGCTTAATGTGTGAACTTAGTGGTCACTGTGCTCATTATTGCGTGGTGTTTGCGAGGCACAACAGACGCCTAGCGAATGTACTAATATCGTGAGCCCTGGCCGAGTTGATCCCTACTTCCGCTCACTCAGACATGTGCCTAGACCCCAAAGTTGAATCGTAAAGGGTTCCATGTTAATGAGATCCCGGGACCTTTTTTGGGGGGAAGGGTAGGGCATTTTTCAGTGGTCAACACAATCAACTCTTGCTTGGTCCCGGTTCATGCAATTTTGGCTCGCATCGCAACATTCTTTGATGCATTTACGACATCAGCCGACAGATGGCATCACCTCCCAGCCGGATGGTGAGCGCTCGCCAGCCGCCAAACGTCGCGGCTCCGGCAGGGCCACGGAGTTTCGGAACGAGTGAGTCAACAGCGACCCGCTGATCCCGACCCGACTGTCATTCTATCGGGAACGAGATTCGCCTGGTGTGCAGATATCCGGGAGCATATGAGGGCACACATAGCCCGCTTCGTTATCAAACGTCTGGCTTTTTTTTACAGTACAATTTGTCTGGAACCGATCTCGTTGAGATCTCTTGAACAGCATGGACGTAGGAACAGGGGGCCAGGGGGCCATGGTCCCCCACTTTTCAAGGTGCGGGTGGGACAGCAGTGTTAACTGCCCCCCTCCTCCACACACACCATTTATATTAAGGTTGCGTTTAGCTTAATTTTGCACCACATTAAACATACGTGCCAATTTGTCTAGTTCACCAGCCATCTTCCTCTAGGTGCGTCATCTTTTTCGTTTGCTTATTGGTCATCGTTCAGTGTCACAGCCACAGGCCGAAGCCGCGCAGACTATGAAGACTGCAACGCCGGGCGTCGAGGCCGTTGACTTGCGAGCGCGCGTGTTCAAAACCATGTTGCATAGATTTTATCAGCAATCAATTCTAACTGAATGTTGAACATTTTAAGACGAAGATGAATTGGCCATGTAAATACAAACTTGGGGCCCATCTCATCTATCTACGTCCAGGGCGTCCCAAATGTCTCTGAAGAACACAGAAAAACATGAGCCTGTAGTCTATGTGACAATTATTGGACGACCTTCAGCGATCAGGCATGTTGTTGCGTCAATGAGGGTTCCTATGCTGATCCGGAGCCAACTGCGAGGGTCAGAAGACCTCCCGTTTCAGGAAGGGCAACAATATGATATGATATATCCTTCTCATGTCCTCCGGATCGACCAGGAGACCCCACCCCGTTTGGCCAGAATGACAGGCAGAAGACACTTCGCGATGGGACGGAGTGGCCCTTCAGCCCCTGACCGGAACCGGTAATGTGCCTCTAGTGTTCTACTCAAGGGGCCCCTTGCCCGGAAGGAAATAAGGGGTCTCATTATTATTGAGTAGAGTGGGGTTCTCATTATTGTTGAAAAGAGTGGGTCAAAATGAATTTTTTTTTTTTAAACCAACAAGGGCATCCCATGTTTTCCCGAGGAGGCTCATTTTTCATGATGGATGAGTGAAAAATTACATTCAGAAGTTTGAACATGCCCTCCTGCAGTCTCGAGAGCAAGGACAGCGATGGTCTGGGTTGCAGCTTCCGTAAAACCGAACGGCGTCGGCCATTGCAAGTGTCACCAGACGGCGGGAGACACGTTAATCTGTCTTCTGGACAGATTAATAGTTACGGAAACACGAAAAATAGAAAATCTACCTTTACTCTTCCAGTTCCACCACCAGATTTTAGCACCACTTCGCGGTGCTTTAAGAGCGCATCTGCAATCAAAATGTTCACCCTCAATTTTGATCAAACATATGGATCTACAATCTACCTTCGCGATCTCCTTAATGTTTGTAGAACGCAGATAAAATATAATGAAAAAGCTTCTGAGTTATATCTGTTAAGAAGGAGTCCACTAAGTCATGGCAAGTTAAGGACACCGGTAATTAATTCTATGCGGTCGTTAAACGCCTGAGTTCTGCAGTTTATTGACCTTAACATACGCTCGGGTTGGGGGTCAAATTGACTCGCCCCGAAGGGTTTTCCAGAATGGTTTTCGAACGGCGCGGTACAGTCGCGCCATGTTTTGCATAGCCGTAGAAAATTGAATAGCGGATCGCTTAGCATAACACAATTTAGATGTACTTTGTAAGGTCGCTAGCCTATGGCAGGTCAAAGTCAGGGCATGGTTTCAGCGAAGTCAACTTCTAGGGAATCGTTCAATATGATGCAACAATGGAGTGTTAGACGAAGCCATGCATCTCTAAGATGCTTTCTTAGGCAACACAAATATTGCATGAGCAAATTACGTTGACTTGAGGCCAGGTATAGAGGTCAGACCAGGGTCAAAACCAGCTTGTTTTGTTACTCTAGCGCTTGCTGCATGAGATGGCTTCTGGTGCTCATTTCAAATTTATTGATAGCAGCAACCGCATTATACATCTTCCATGAACCTCTTAGAGGTCAGAATAGGTCATTGACCTAGGTCAACATTTTGTTTTTAGAAATACACTGACTGGCGTAATCTTTGTCGCTTATTTAAATGCAAAACTCAGGGCGGTCTTGTATGGATTTGGTCACCATGACCTTCAAAAGGTCAAACAGGTCGCTGATCTTAAATGAAGATGTGATGTTTTGCTTACACACAGTTATCCAGGTTCTGGGTGCAATTTGGCGACCAACCTGGAATTAGACCTTGTTTGACTTTATTTGACCCAAAAGTCGTGACCTAGGAACCTCAAACTTTAACCTAAGTGAGTTCACGTACAGGTCAACACGCCATGTGAATTTGGTGTATCTAGCTTTCTTAGGTCTCGCGATCTCAGGGAAGTCAAATTGACCCCCGACCGAGAGAAGGGTATCTAGCCGGCCACCCGGGCGAGTGTTAAAAATGTAAACAGAATTGATTTCACGGTAACTGCTGGCTTCCGTTCTGGTTGAAACGTAAAAATAACAACGAAACGAAGAAAACTGTATCCTTTGTTAACAAGCAAACTATATCCGGAGATATCTTTTGTGGGGGGCTTTTTCAACATAAAGGGACCTTTTGTCAACCCTGTGTTCCTCTTAGCAAGGCTCCGTCTACCCCCTGCCTACACACAAAAACGGATCAAGTCATCTACGTTGAATGATGGGCAAATGAATGTTCGCTGGGCCAATTCTTACCTAAAGTAGACAGCTTCCCGGCGGCATTTTACTGGGGCGATGTGGTGTTAGGGAAGACAATTCGGAAAAAGGTACTGCCGCAGGTGTCCAACGCATGCTTTGCACCCCAATTAGTAGCAATGCTGATCCAGAAATTGCAACAAAGCAGCCATGACATCAGTTCGCGGTCAGTCATTCGGAGGCAGCCGGGCCAGGACAGTGACCACCGACGGTGGACGGGAGCAGAGCTCAGACAAAGAATATATGACAGAATGGTCTTCATTCTGTGGCTTGGTTTTCGAAGGAGAATCTCCAGCTCTATGGCTTTTGTCACATCGTGTTTGGCAGTTTCATGCTTCCGAATTTGTTTTCGCCTAAAATACCGCGACAAGTCTTATCTCTTGAATAGCAGTCAGTGAAATGAAAGCTCATGTAAAACCTGTTGTTCGGTGAGCCATCGATTTACTTTCAAAATTCTCACCAGGCTAGGCTCAGGCCATATTTTGGCATCCACCCTGTGGAGACAGACGCCTCCTCAACGATCCAAAATGCCTACCCGCTCGTGGAATTTCGGTTCCCCAGGACAGGCAACGTTGAAACGGACGAATTACCTTGGGAAGCTGGAAAGCCTTATTTCTCGAATGACATAGATAAGTCGGATAGGCAAGAGTGTGCACCAATGAGAAACAGCTCTAGGTGCATATCCAGAATAGCAGTCATTATAATAAAGAGCAGTAACCTCCATCTCTACTCCTCCCCCGCCCCCGGTCGTCGGGCTTTTTTCCAGAAAAGAAGTTCCTGAGGTACGCCCTGAACTTGGCCCCCCACTTTTTGAGACGCTCCTACCCCTATGATTACAGAGCAAAAAATATAAGCATATTGCTATGACACTTGTGGTATAAGCCTGTAGTGAAACATCGATGGTCGATCATCGATTTTTGATGGAGGCTTGCACCCTAGATATCATAATATACCTATTTTCATCCAGTCATTCTTCAACGAGGAATAAGGCTTATAGCACTGTTCTATGTTAATGCACTTTGCGGTGCGTACACGGTGTTCTGGCACTTATCGCGGTGAGTTGGTTAACGGGGCTTCATTGAATAAGCTTAGAGCGAGAAATGGGATTTACCCTTGGGACAACTTATAAGTTGTGGGTAAAATATGTGATCCAGGGTGTGAGAATGCAACCTGGGGAACGAGATCTACGGGATGGCATGCTCACCCCACGGTCAGCCCCGCAACCCACCCCCAAAAAAGAAGAAAACGCCCAAAACCCGACACGCAGTGCATCTTAACGAGCGGAACACACTAGTCCCCAAGTGCCTGAGAAATGTAGAAGTTAATTTATTGCCAGATCAGTACCCAATTAAGCACGTGATAGGCTCGCCTGAATCCTCTTGGGTCTGTTTAAGTCAATTATGTGTGTGCCGAATTTCCTCGAAAATGTATGCGAGAATCGGGAGCAGCAGCATCAGGACGCTGCGGCTGTCGAGACGCGCCCCGAGCGTCGGCAGGGAGACTGTGCTTCCGCCAACCCGAGTTACACACTAGGCTGTCGAGGCGCGCCCCGAGCGTCGGCAGGGAGACTGTGCTTCCGCCACCCCTGAGTTACGCACTATTTTGTTCCCACTGCTCCGTGCGCGCCGTTAGTCCGTGTAATCGCAATCCATGCAGGAGACATCAAATGAACACATCCTGTCAACGAAGACTTCTTTGAAAAGGCTGTTTTAAGGAATCTATTGAGGGAGGATCGCCGGGAAATCGATCTATCGAGAAATAGCTTCCAGTGGGATGATATTTTGGGGGCGAGTGGCGAGGTTTTCGAGGGCCTAGAACTATAAAATATCAAGGCAGCCGGTTTGCAGTGTTCTGCTCTGCCGGCTGGCTAGCAGCCGATTCAGCCGCGGCCTGCTCGCTGGGGACTTTCATTGTAGACTTCAGACAGGGCTCCTCCACCCCTGGGAGAAGCGTCAGACTCAACAAAGGCTTGTAAGCTGGAAGTTGTTATTCTGGCAATAATCTAACCTCATTATAGCAGAATATGCTCGTTAAACGACGTTATAAAACAAGTGTTGATTAAATTGACAAAGCTCGACGCTTCCAGATGTGCTTGTGGTCACGCGTGAACAAAGTTAGGCAAAAAATACATTTAAGAACTAAGACGTTGGGCACAGAAAATGGTTTGAATCTGAGCAGACACTACCATTAAATAATCAAAGTAATGCATCATTCGAGGTCCCGCATCCCACCACCCGATTCAAGGTACTACGATAAGGACTGCATGTGGGGAGGAGGATTACAGCGATTCATATGGCTCGATGCGACAACCCATGAGCTCAAAGTTATCATGACGCATAGGCTCAGGGCCTTGCTTGCTTATCTGAACAAGCGATTGTTTGCGGCCAACCGGGACCCAACGCCGGCGGTCCGCACGGTGGGTACGTGGCCGGGGTTGTCGGCCCGTTAGTCCTGAGATTGACGAAGTATAATGAGGACAAGGATTGGGTGGCGCGCGATTGAGAAGGGATCCGAAATCCACCCCCTTCAATCTCCTTCACGCGCTGAGTACCAGCCACAGTATCCTCGGTATCCGTACGGGTGCCCGGCCCGCCGGCCGACAGCTGAAAATGAGCTCTGTGATAGTGAGGAGGCCGCACGGAGAGTCCCGGCGGCGGTAGCACTTCTCCCCTTGATCATTCTCTGGGTCCACGAATTATCGCACTGGGGTCTTTCATTTGTGCAAGCATTTGTGAGAACTACCATCAAGAGCAGCGTCCACGTTTCAGGACCGAATCTAAAACTGTTCTGCAACTACAGGCCGGCTACACAAAAACACTTTTCTGCTATGCTAAACGCAGAGACGGGGCGGCGCCGATGGGTCGCCAGGGGTTAAATCAATCAAAACAATCGCTGGCCTTTTGAGCCGGGCGCCACTTCGCGGACTGAATGGGGCTATTTCCTTCATGATTCTGATTTGTGACAACTTATTTCCAATCAGGGGGCCATAATTTTACAAATAACGTGAACAAACCATGGCGTGTTGGTGCCGAGGCTATTGTTCAGCCCGATGTGGGCAGCAGGCAACGTGCTTAATGCTCTGCAACTCGTAAGCGAAAACCAGCGAAGTTGTGGGTCGTTCCAAATGGTCACCGACGTCTGCCACCTTAATCCCGACGGGGGCTCGCGCTTTACGTGAAAAGACTGCTGCGCTTGTAACTAAACAACAAAATTAAAAGAGTAAGGCACGTTTTGCGTCATTCAGAGGCAAGCCATTGTTAAGGGGATGCTCCACATTTGAAGGCATTGGAGCAAGCATTCTTGTCCGAAGTCAACCCTTGTTTACTTGGGAACGTTCATTCTTTTGTGGGATCAACTAGCACAACAAATTACATCAAAAAGTTTTGAGCCTGTGCGCTCCCAGTCTCAGGAGCGAGAAAAGCGATGGCCGCGGCTGCAGCTTCCGTAAAGCGATGGCCGCGGCTGCAGTTTCCGTAAAGCCGGACGACGCTGGTCACTTTAAATAACACCAGACGGCAGGCGCCGTGTGCGCGAGATCGTCCGTTGTGAAAATTGTTCTGAGAGACTCAAAATATTTATGAACTGTTCAAACATTAGACCGGCGCGTGTCTTTTTATTCTGAGCATGTCGTTTGGACGAACTAATTGCTACAAAAACGCAACAAATGGGGATTTTTCCTCCACTCTCCCAGTTTCACCACCAAGTTTGCTTTCCTGCTTACCGACACTGAAGTTCGCCGCGGGACTAACGCCGAACACCTACAAAGACTGCAACGCCTGGAGTCAAGGTTTCTGTCGCTAAGGTTTGCGAGCATGCATGTTCAGAGCTGCCCTACAAGGCTGGCTGTATCCGGAGATTTTTCTTTTTTGGGGGTCACCATTAGGGGTCCTTTCTCAAACCTGTGCCCCCCCCCCCCCTGCCAAGGCTCTGGCTGAACCCCTGGTCCACGCCAGTGTTCGGGTCATTACGACATATCGCACACCTGGTCTGGGGCGTCTCTGGAGAGATTGCGCTTGTGGGTTGGCCGTGGTCTGAGCGTGGGTTGTCCAGACAGCCAATGTGCCAGGACAGCGGCACGGGTTGTCTTGACAGCCGGTGTGCCAGGACAGCGGTATGGGTTGTCCAGACAGTCAAAATGCCAGGACAGCGGCACGGGTCGTCTTGACAGCCGGTGTGCCAGGACAGCGGCACGGGTCGTCTTGACAGCCGGTGTGCCAGGACAGCGGCACGGGTCGTCTTGACAGCCGGTGTGCCAGGACAGCGGCACGGGTCGTCTTGACAGCCGGTGTGCCAGGACAGCGGCACGGGTCGTCTTGACAGACGGTGTGCCAGGACAGCGGCACGGGTTGTCTTGACAGCCAATGTGCCAGGACAGCGGCACGGGTCGTCTTGACAGCCGGTGTGCCAGGACAGCGGCACGGGTCGTCTTGACAGCCAATGTGCCAGGACAGCGGCACGGGTCGTCTTGACAGCCGGTGTGCCAGGACAGCGGCACGGGTCGTCTTGACAGCCGGTGTGCCAGGACAGCGGCACGGGTCTTGACAGCCGGTGTGCCAGAGCAGGGGCATGGAGCCTGTCTGGCCGCTCTGCGCCGCTGCCCGGCTACCGGGCGTCGTGCTCGACGCATTGTGAGGAACATTGGGGACAGCATTAGGGACAAAGTGTGAACCGCGCACTATTAACTGCGAGCCATGAATGACGCAGTGATTGATGAAGTGTGGCTCCTTTCGTTTTGCAGTGCGGAAAACGGCATTGTGACGGTGGGTGGACAGCGGTGAGGAGCGTTTCAGTTGCCGGGCGTCCCGTTCAGCAAATCTCAAAAAGGACCGATGATCAGGCTGGGATAAAAACAATCTTAAACCCATTAATGAGACGACGCATGATAAGAGATTAGCTTGTTTCGCCAGTTTCTCACGATAAGATAAGGTTCGTTTCATCAGACGCCTTAGGCAGATTAGTGGTGGAATTATTCCGCTACAGTTTGTGTACAAAAATGTATTTGTATGGTCTTTGGCTCGTTAACTAATGCGCAAGATTCTGTGATTAGCGACGTACAGAGCAACACATCGCCCATCAAGGAATGTTTCGTACTCCAGTGATATTGGCCGGGGCCGGATGGAAGCTCTTGTGCTGACACGACCGCGCCATTTTTCCTTTTTCGTACAATGCCAGCGGACTGATAAAACTTTTCTTTTATTGGATACAGCGTTGTGCCCTACAGAGCACAACGAAGAAAAATGGGAGGCGATGATATTCATGGGATGGTCATAGGATATCCGGGAAGAGAACTATGCCTCCGCCGCCATATCTCACCTCACTCTTCTCTCAAGCACGGGTACTGACGTTATTTTCCTCTATTATTTTCTAGTGTGGATGGTACTGGATCCAAAAAGGGCAGTAGAAGAACGAGCAATGATCGGACGATGTCAGTTCGGCGGAAGGCCTCGGCACACGGAAGAGACATCAGGAGGCTGGTACCTGCTGTTAGTCATCACTCACGAATGGCTAGATCGGCACCCAGTGTAACTTATCGCCGACATGGGCAGCTAGATGTTCTTGTACAACATATGGCCGCACCGTATGGCCAACGGCCGGCTGCAATGTGACTCACGAGTGATAAAGTTCCCCGTTCATCGACTGAGTCGTCGCCGTTGCAGTCAGTAGAGCACCGGAGACCTGGCCATCCCCAGTCAGTTGAGCACAGCACACTTGACCACTCTCAGTGAGTAAAGCACCGGACACCTGACCACCCTCAGTCAGTAGAGCACAGCACACCTGACCACCCTCAATCAGTAGAGCACAGGACAACTGATCATGACCACCCTCATTGAGTAGAGCACCGGACACCTGACCACCCTCAGTCAGTAGAGCACAGCACACCTGACCACCCTCATTCAGTAAAGCACCGGACACCTGACCACCCTCAGTCAGTAGAGCACAGGACACCTGACCACCCTCAGTCAGTAGAGCACAGGACAACTGACCATGACCACCCTCATTGAGTAGATCACCGGACACCTGACCGGACACCGGACACCGGACACCTGGGCACCAGATTATGTGAGTTCGCGTAGCAACAAACTACACTGGACTATTGGACTCGTCAAGGGTCAACTGGCTGCTAGTCATGAGCGAATCAGAATGGGGCATGGCGGCCGTGTCGTGACATCACGCGGAACGCTAATTACATCAGCCAAAGCTACCTTTGTACTGGAACGTGCTCGCTGCCTTGTCGGTGTGGCAGAGTCGGGGTAAATGTATCGAGGCATTCTTAGCAGACTCCGACTACAAAGACCTCCCCCCTCCAATTAATCTGCTCGTTCAAATTATTAAATGTATGGCCTATATGTGCGAAGTTACATGCTCCATTCGCACTCTAGATGTGTGCTACACTTCATCTCTCCTGAGGCTAAGCTTATTCTCTTGTGCTGTGTTTTATTTTGCACAAAGCCCTTACCCCGTGTAGTGCAGTAAGATCCATGCAGTATTTGGGTGGTCTTCATCTTCCATAACGTCGGGAGCGTTCCCCTGCAGCAGATGGTCACGTGTATTCCATTCGTGTCATAGAAGCCTAGTCGGCGGCGTTGTGCTGGCTCTGGGACGTCGGAGCGCTCTGCAGAGCGGCCAGTCCGGCCAGTGGCGCTGCGACTGCTGCCCTCCCACAGAGTGGCGCTGGCTCGGCGGACAGCGCGCCGCTGGGCGTCAGGAGCACCGTCAGCGGCTTCCTCGACGGAAACTACTACACGTCCAACGACTCCGTGCCCCTGGTGAGCTCCGCGACTACGAAACTTATTGTCTGGATGAAATCAGTCAGGGCAATCATGTCACTCAATCATTGACAGCAAACCCGTCTGCAACATCAATGTCGGTATATTGTACACTGATTCAACATGCCCCATGCACAGCTGATACAACATGTACCACCTGACACCTTGAAAGAATGTTTGTGACATCCCGAAATCCTTCGCAAGCAGACACTTTTTTGGCATATGTCACACAAGTACTTCCCACAAGTTGATATGGTATTCTGATCATTCTGATGCGTCGTTAGACTTTAAACACATATTTCCATCGGTCGCTAGAGTTCTGAGTGATGTGCAAAAAAAAATATTTACCACGCTCACCTCGAAACGTGTGCACGCGTTTCGAGGTGAGCGTGGCGAATACATATGCAGGCGCTGACAGGTAGCGGGCGCTACCGCACGTCAGTCAAGTGACTCAAAGCCGGCATCTGTCTTGCAGATTTGGAGTAAATGGTCCTGAAACTACGTGGGAATAACGCAATTCATCCCACTCTCCCTTAAATCGCAGTCCGTGGAGATGTCATTTATCATTTAACTTCAACTGGCGAAGCTAAGATGATGGTTAGCAGAAAATTACAGCTTAGAAGTCAAGTTTCATTATTATACATCACAAGGCTTAGAATGTACCGCCAAAAACAATGGACACCCTGTTTGTATGTACTCGTGAAAAGCCGCGAGAGGGGTTTAAGACGATCTGTTGAATGGGCCCAGAATTGGTGTGGAATGCCATTGAGGTGTATGTGAGGCCATTTCAGTAAGTGTCCTTATGCTTTCGTCTGTCAAGACACTGATTTCGGTGTTCGCATAAATGCACTAAATCCAGACGCTTGCTAGAGTAATCGAATATTGCAATTACTTATGCGCCCCCCCCCCCCCCCCCCCCATTCGTCCACGCCGCTCGCGATCTTGGGCTGCGCGGCGGCTGCAGCTAGCCGCAGTCGCGCCAATCACGGACGGAAAAGAGTCCAGCTGGAGCTTTGGCCTCCTGTGATGCGGGGGTCTATACTTGGCCTTTTCATCCGAATCTTGCGACGCGGCAGGTGCATGTGTCGGAGAGCTTCAGCCGGCTGTTCCAACACACGTCCGATGAGGACACGGACAGCGAGGTGGAGGAGTTCATGGATAAGAAGTACGGCACCGAGGCCAAAAACCTCCGGGACGCGCTGAAGCTGAACTTTAATATCCGTAAAACCGCCACTGGTATTCCGCGTATGGAAGGCCACATGCGGGTAAGTCGTCTTGGCCGCCATGAACTACTTTCTTAACGTGGTTCTGTACACAGTACACACAGCAGGCGCGGCCTGACAATCACTATAATTTTGAAAAGTGGTTTTGATTTAGTATGTTTGTTGTAACATGGCATGCAATGCGGCAGATTCTTCTCTGAAACGACGAAGCAAGAACTATATGAAATGTTTCGCATGCTTGTGATGAATGATAAACTCATATGCATATATCCTAAGCACCTGCAAGCTGCAATCACGATCTTCTAGTCTCTTTACTTTCAAATATCGACCTTCTAACTTCGATACAATAGCAACATAGCGCGGAAGAGAGCTGTAAAACTTTGCTGGTGTTGAGAACAAATTGTGATCGATTTCCACTTCTCGTTTTCTCATTTAGGTCATGCTCAATTTCAAATAAGATCACCTTTCTTGTTTGTAGTTTACATGTCATTTACCCTAAAAGCAGTGTTGATAACAATCCTGGAAAAGGTAATAAAGATGATAAAGGTTTATACGTAGGTCGTAAGTAATAAATAGACAATAAATAGGTCCATGGGTAATACAGGTGTGTGCCTACATGGGTTCACAGAGGACTACATAGGATTTAAATATGCAAGATAATTTGATGCTCTCCAAGAATAGCGAACTTCAATATGCCGTCTATGCCATTATTCCTTAAAGTGAATAGTCACTAGCAATCTAACAGTTGTCCACATCATCATGATCATCATCGCCATCATCTATTTATTTATTTTCACATCCATGTGAATTGCTCTCTCCGGCCAAGCCTCAGTCGTATTTGTGCACAAATACAACAAACAACAAAATTAGCAAGCGAAAAATTTGACCGTGGGCATCGATTAGCCACCGCGAGGCGTCAGCATTATGCCAGCACGCGTCATTCGTACTCGTCAACGAGCTGCCCCAGCCATGGCCACGCCTGCCTTCGATGTACGCGCAGTATCCCTGATTCGGCAGACAGCAGGACGCTCAGACAGCTCAGGCGACAGTAGAATATTCGCGAAAATCGGAATGGTCTTATCGTACTGGCGAAAGGAGGTTTGATCAGTTCGCACAGTGGCACGAACCGTATCACTTTAAAGTATTCGGATTATCATCATATGTCCTATAATTCCTGTCAAACTATCCACATCTCCACATGACGAGGGCGTCCTGGAAGAATCAATCAGTAATGGCTGGGATCGGAACGTTACCAAATAAGTTAAGTTTTGTTAACCTCTGGGCCTCACATACAGCGCAAGGTGTGATGTAACTCTCCCGGCGCAGTTAACTCGTTCCCTTGACATATGTGCGAAACAGTACACAGCATACTGCGCTGCAATACCTGTGTACTTCTGACCGGTGGCCAGCTCCCAGACCGTAAGACGGCTCAGTCGGACGCCAAGGACCTGTTGTACCGGGGCACTAGTTACCTGGTTGAGGCGCCGCTGCGCCTGGAGAGGTCGACGCGCGCCCTCACCCGCACCGCCATCGCCAGAGCCGTGGACGGGTAGGTCACCGGCGTACTGGCGCTGCTGCCGGGGGGTTCACACGCGCTCCGTCCAAACTGGCCGGCACGCGGTCTGCCTCAGTGCTTTGCATTATAGCATACTTGGTCATACAGTTACTTTGGTTTTTGTTACTTTGTCATACAGTCGGCTATAAACCGTTTAAGAGAATGTTCCACATTTAAAGATATCGAAGCAACCATCAGATCTTATGAAATAAGCTCACTCATAACTATTGGCATACTTTTAAGTGGAAAGGCTGCTCTAAACACAATCTGTCTACTTGGTAAAAATATTCCTCAATACATCATTAGTTGATTGCGCCATTGTGCCTTGCACAGCATTGATTGATAATCAATTAACAACTGTTATAAACGCCCCGACATGAACCATTGGACAATTATATTTTCTTGGCCTTGACCACCGCAGACTAATGGAATGGCAGACTTTGAATGAAGTTTTTATGACATCATGAATGCCTAGGTGATCTTGAAATAGTTCGCACAAAATGACCTGCACGAAATAATCTGCTCATAACAGTCTGCACGAAAAAGTCTGCAAATCTTCGCGGGTGTTAAGCCCAGAAGCTGGAAGGGTTTAGGTCTTAAGCAAGGCAGGGCTGTGAACTCCACTGAGTGATCTTCAAGATGGCTCTTTCAGTTCGACAACCCACACAAATGTGGAACACTCCCTTAAAATTCGATGGAAACTGCCTGTCATCAAAACTGAAGGTCAGCCTGGTGCTATGCTGACAATGCCTATGCATCTCCTGCACGACAAGGCTTGCGTTTGGTCTGGAGCAGTCTCCTTACTCAACTCACACATCTTTGGCCCGCAAACTTTGCATCGGGATGCCCGACACCTCAAGGCCGGTCCAGTGCTGCGGCGCCGTCACTGTCCGCCTCTCCAGCGCTGCGACGCCGTCACTGTCTGTCTCTCTAGTGCTGCGGCGCCGTCACTGTCTGCCTCTCTAGCGCTGCGGCGCCGTCACTGTCTGTCTCTCTAGTGCTGCGGCGCCGTCACTGTCTGCCTCTCTAGCGCTGCGGCGCCGTCACTGTCTGTCTCTCTAGCGCTGCGGCGCCGTCACTGTCTGCCTCTCTAGCGCTGCGGCGCCGTCACTGTCTGCCTCTCCAGCGCTGCGGCGCCGTCACTGTCTGCCTCTAGCGCTGCGGCGCCGTCACTGTCTGTCTCTCTAGTGCTGCGGCGCCGTCACTGTCTGTCTCTCTAGCGCTGCGGCGCCGTCACTGTCCGCCTCTCTAGCGTTGCGGCGCCGTCACTGTCTGCCTCTCTAGCGTTGCGGCGCCGTCACTGTCTGCCTCTAGCGCTGCGGCGCCGTCACTGTCTGTCTCTCTAGCGCTGCGGCGCCGTCACTGTCCGCCTCTCCAGCGCTGCGTCATCGTCACTGCCTGCCTCTCTAGCGCTGCGGCGCCGTCACTGTCCGCCTTCCCTCGCTGCGTCACCGTCGCTGTCCACCTCCGCCAGGGAGCGCTCGCGCTGTCACTGTTCGCCTCCGTCAGGGAGCGCTCGCGCCGCATGTCCGAGATCCAGTCGCGGGGCGCAGCCGTATCGTCCGGCTGGCTGGAGGTGCAGCGACAGCTGAAGCAGGTGGCGCGCCTGGCCGAGGAGGAGGAGAACGAGGCAACCATCGCTGCTACGCAGGCCACCGAGGGGCAGATGGACCTGGTGCGAGAGCAGCTGGTACGGGAGGTGCACCGCAAGACCGTTCGTGAGGAGGTGACAGAGGCGCAACAGTGGAAACAGATGTTCTTCAAGGGTATCGCCAAAAACAAGGTGCGCAGTGGTCATCGGAACGGGGTCACGCCATTTTGCAGAGATCATGGTCAGGCTTGAGTGTTGCGTGATGGTTGAGTAGGAGCGTGAGGATGTGGAGCTTCCTGATTAACTTCTGAAGGAGTAATCACTCCGAAAGAAACTGCGTCTGGATGTTGAATTTTACGGGTGCTTGCAATCACCACGTGACTTCACGTTGAATTGACTCGAATCAACCCGACTTCTAGCATAAGCTATCATTAGTATCAAATTGACTTCTAACATAATGACTTGACGTCCCCACGAAATCCTCGTTTCTGTTCAATCTGAATAGCGCTAGCCAGTTTTTCCTAGATGTGCCGTTTCGCTTCCTCCCCGTAATGTTCAGTTTGTACTACACCACATTTTCCCGCCTGGTGACCTCACGAGGCGGTCTTCAGGAGTGGTCTTCTCACTGGCCGTCCGAGCATGCTGTTTCAGCTGTCTCCGGAGGCCATGGAGGCGGTGGCGTCGACAAGCGAGCACATGTCCTCGGTGCTGAGCGAGCTGTCTGAGGCCTTCTCGTGCAGTGAGCTGGACGAGGGCTCGCGGGAGGAGGTGGCGGTGGAGCGCTCACTGGACCTGATGGACGCTTGCCTCAACGAGCTGTTACGCTGTGTCCTCATACAAACTATCAATATCGAGGTCAGCCTGGAAGACGTGGTTGGGAACGCATTGTCGTGTCCGAGGCGAGCGTAGCAAAACTGCTTGAAACTGCTGTGAATGGCATCGGAAGTTATGGGTCGTATTCCCTGGGGACTTACCAGCTCAGGACTTGCCCGTTCATATATTTTGTCTGTACACAGACACGCAGTTTTGCTAAGATACCCTGTGAACTGAACAGGGCTTTGTTTCTTAGGCAATGACTGTGACGTAGACGTCACGGTAAAACACACTCATTAGCGCACCTGTGGGCCTGTGACGATATCCCTCAATATCAGGTCACCATAGAGAGGGAGCGTCAGATGCAGGAGTTCAAGCGGGGGCGTCCGGCGGCTGCGCGGAAGAGCCAGTCGGACGACGGGCCTGACGTGGGCTCGACCAAGCAGGAAATCGGCAACTCGGTCGCCAAGATCTTCAAGCGTGTCAACGACCGAGAGATAAGGCGGGAGGAGCGCGTAATCGACAGGGCGTCTGAGTACAAATGCCTCGTTCAGGAGGACCTTATCAGAAAGTGAGGCCAACGATGACACCATAAAGTTATACCGTGCTTTCTTGCTCATCTTTTGTCAAACCGTTTACAAAACGTACAGGTAAAGGAGCGGTACATAGCTTTGCGATCAATGCCGACACCTTTTCCGTGCACACGCACACACTATTTGTTATAGGATCCAGGTCAAGTTATTTTTTTTCGAAACACAAATAGCCAGTGGGTTATAACGCCATTGAGGTTGTGCGCGTGTTGTATGTGCTCTTTAAGAGGTCTATTACACGCGCCTGGATTAGGTGCTGGCCTTCTTCTTGCTGTTGCAAGACAGCAGGGTGACAGGGCAGCCTATCCAAACTGGTGCCCATCGCTGCGGACCCTGGCCGTCTGGCGTTTCGCGTGCATACCGTTTGTGTGCATCACTGTCATCGTTGTTTGTTGGTGATCCATACCCTAAATTTGACGAGGCGGGCCCTCGTGGATTTTGATCTGACCGATGTTCGTGTTGCGTCCGAGCGGTGCGGTGCTTGGGTTGATAGCCCTACGTGCAGAGCTATCTCCACTCACACCTTAGCCGTTTTCACGACGCATCAATGCACTGCAAGTTTTTCAAGGATGACATTCACCGCATGCTTTCCTATCTCTGTTCAAATGCGACCGCGCACTCCATCTGAACTGACGCGTAGAACAAAGTGCAATGCTTATGGCGCTGCGCTAGTTGTTGGCGTGCTTGTTTTAACTTCTCCGAAATGATTACGGTCAATTCCAATGTCGCGAAACTTTTCAACAGGAACTTGTTAATGTTACTGACTAAAGCCCGGAATGGGTGGCTTGTACAGTTGTCCATCTGAATCTAGTTTTACAGTCAAAATCCTTAACTTCTCAGCAGCTTTCTTGACGACTTCCAGATCCCAGTTGTCCGTTGATGCGTCGGCTGAAAAGAAGCTGTGCTGGGTCCTTGCCTCTCGGCGTCGCGCCGTTCAGTGCGCTCTGCTGGCTGGGGTAACCTGACCCGTGCCCCATCTGGCCGCCTTGCCAGGGTCTGGCAGCGTCGCGTGACGAGACTATGCAGTCATGAGAAGGCGCGCCGCATCATCGAGGCCGAGGACCCGGCCACCATGGAGGACCCGACGCGCATCGCCGTCAGCGACCACTGGGTCCGCGTGCAGGCCCAGATGGTCATCGACAAGTTCAGGGCCAAGAAGGTGACGCATCCGCAGATGGTTGAGACAGTATTGTGACGAAAAGCACGGTGGCAACAGCATGATGAGCTTGGGAGATGTCAGCGATTTTTTGGTGCTGTCACGCATTTCGCTACCGGTTCGCTTCGAACATGTAATTTCATGCTTAGCTGATCTCATTGGTATTGGAGCCGGTCTACGTCACACACACACACACACACACACACACACACACACACACACACACACACACACACACACACACACACACACACACACACACACACACACACACATATCGCCATATGACCTAAAGCAGCTGGAGCGCCGGCGGACGGGGTTATACGGGAATGCGCGGTGGCCGGTTGCGGAGAAGGTCAGCATACGCGTCAGTAGTAGCACGCACTGACGATGACCAAAACTAGTTTCGCACGGTCACGGCCGAATTTCTGCCGTGGGTCGTCACAAAGATTGACCGCGTCACGCGTTCAAAGCTCTTGGCTTTTCATCCGGCAGTGGGCGCGCTTGCGTGCCCTAAAGCATGGTTTAAATCATTGTAAATCTTATCTAAAACATTATTGTTGAGTTGTCGACCTTCAGTATACCAGGCGGAGTTGTCGACCTTCAGTATACCAGGCGGTACTGGCTAAACGAAGTCATAGTGCAAACATAGGGGACATCGACAGCACTCGACGTTTCAAGTTGGCTCATGACCGCGGGTGATCATAAGCCCTATGATCACTCGTGATCACAGGGCTATGACCACGGAATCAAAGACCTTATAAGTGATCATAAGTTCTTTTGATTACGCACGGTTTTCTTCCGACCGCACAGTTCAAACACTGATTATTCCTTCCATTTCAGAAATATGTATCACTAAGAATTTGTAGACCGTGAAAGGCTCCGCATCACTAAAAATGATTTGCGATATTTGTATCTCTGTCCACCAACTGCTACCCCCGTCTTTGCACGTACTGGAGCCGCTCTCCATGGTGGACAGCTGTGAATTTGGATCGTGGGACGTCCCGAACGTGGACTCGGTAATTTGTGGGAGTCTCACTATTATCCGTGTAGCTGCTTGTGGTCTGTACGCGGTTACAAAAAGGAGGACACGTAGAAATGCGGATTGGATGTATGCACCGAGACCAGCATTAAGTTATGATTGTACCATGCTATGCATACACGCCGGTCTCGGTGCTGGTCACATACCCATGGTCACTATGGGGACCTATTTCTCATTTGATAACATGAAGACGTACTTCCGACATCGACTTTTGGCTAGGAAAAGCAATCCTGCAAAACACTGATTAGAGAGCAGCACGATCGGAGAACACCTGACTCTGACGAATCAAAACTGGACCTGTCCCGGACGGTCATTTTTGGCACCCAAAGCTAAACATGGTGTGCAAAATTGAGTCAACAAGTTTGCATAACTCCCTCGCCTTGAATGGAGAAGTTTCTAAGATGGTGTCAGCGGGGCTGGAAGAGGGGGAGAGGGGAGGCTGGATATCGGCTCCGCATGCAAAAAGGTTCAGTAGTTGTGCCGCAATAGTGAAAACAAGCTTTCACGCAAGCGTTTTCCCGGAAATGGCTTGTCGCGACCACGTCATAATCACTGTGGACTGTCTGGAAAGAGCATTCTTTCACCGAATTATCGCTTTCAGATGCCTTGGTTTTTCCATCTAAAAATGACTACGTAGCATTTCGTTTTGATACTATGAAACACCGAAATATGTTTTGATCAGCAGTGGCACCAATCCATTTCCGATCTCGAAGTTATAAATGTAACATGTGATCGCTTTTGATAGCGCACCACCATCACCATTCCACGCCTTTCCGTTGTGCGTTGCCAATATTGTCCTTCTCCGGTCGTTAGCCAATGAACCGATCGCTGAAGGAGGTGTTGCACACGGAAGGCGGCGAGCAGACCTCGGTGGGCAGCGCACTGGATCGGCGCCTGCGCGCCGTCAGAAACCGCTTCAGGCGCCCGGCCGTCTACGTCTGGTGCGTGCCACCCGGGCGTCGGGAGCCCGCCAGACCCGAACACGCCCTGAAGGTCGTCACGATCCCCAGCTGTCGAGTCCGTTTGATGTGCTGAGTACTCACCTACGTCACATTTTCTCTCAAAAGGGATGCTAGGTAATGTTTTTCTCTGTATGACACCGCCGAGTGAGATCCAGGAGAACTTCCACTGAGGGCGCGGGGCAGGGACCATCGCCTCCGTTGGGGCTTTGCGTGGCCCTTCCTGGCGGTTGTTAGGTTCGATTGCTTCATCCACGACCCATCGGTCTCCCTTTCCCCCCCCCCCCCCCCCCCCCCCCCCCAGGATCAGCTTGGCGATCACTACTGACCGACGCACTGAATGCTTTAAATGGGTGTTACGCTGAAGCTCACTGACAGCGGGCTGCTTCCTTTGTTTTCGGTAGTGACGAGGACGACACGTTTATCGTGGAGCGGGCCCGGCAGCGGACCAGACTGACATCTCCGGTGCAGGGCCGTCCCGGCAGCCGCAGCTCTCTCAGGAGTCAGCCCTCGGCCCGGTCGCGACGGCCGTCCTCCTCCAGCACCTCCCGCAGCCCGTCCCCGCAACGCAAACGGAGGACGACACGAGCACCGGCGGCGCATAAGCCTGGTCGCAAGGCACCAACAGCACGCAGACCTGATCGTCAGCCGTCGGCAGCGCACAGCTCAAACTACAAGATACCGACGGTCCGTAGTTCCATTCGTCAGGAGTCCGCAGCACGCAGCCCGAGTCGTCAGTCCACTGCAACTGCACGAAGCGCTGGTCAACAGTCCTCCTCCGGCCAGCGCAGTCAAAGCCGTCAGTCGTCCTCGGCTCAGCGCGGCGCGAGCCGTCAGCAGTCCACGCCGCGAAGCGGCCAGTCGGCGTCGGCCGGCGGCGCGCGTCGGCGGTCGGGCGGAGCTGCGCCGCCGGCGGCGGCCGCCCCGCAGCGCCAGCTACGTCACGGCGCGCAGCGCCAGCCCGGAGCCGGGCCGGCGCGGCTCCGGCGCGGCGAGGCGGCACAAGTCGCCGTCGCCGGCCGGCATCCTCAAGAACACCGGCGAGGACAGCCCGCGTCGCGGCCGGCCGGCGGCCACCTCGGCCGGCTCGCAGCGGGAGCGCGCGGCAGGGGACGCGCCGCAGTCGAAGCAGCGGCGGAGCGCATCCGGCGCGCCATCAGCGCGCCGCGCAGCGAGCCGAACGCATCGCGCGCAGACGGGCGACGGTTTTGTGGAGGTGGTGTCGCCCCGGCGCATGGCGCCAGACGGGCCGATGTCGGCGTCCAGTCGGGCCCAGCGCCACAAAAGCAGCAAGGCGGGCGGGTCCCGGGAGGAACGCCGGCAGGTCGCAGACCAGCGCGAGCAAGACCGCAACAAGCGACCGGAGAAGAAACGGAGCAGGAGCCACAGCCAGGTCGAGGGCCAGTACAGGTCACACTGGACGGCTCGCATTCGGAAGTGATCAGCGCAGCGAACCTAGCTCGGGGCTGATAAAGACGACTGAGGCATCCCCAGGACCATATCGGTCATTTAACCATGCTGCATGTAAACGGGGCATATGAGCGAACAAACGTGTATGACTTAAGAGTATACGCAGTTGGTGAAAACCTCAATAAGGTGAGTTTGCTGACCGAGCCAACTTGTTGCCGTTTTATATTGTGATTCATCTGACGTAGTGTTTGCACGAGCGATGCCCTATACCTGTCAGCCAGCCACCAGTATTTCTCTTACTCAGCGAGAATGGGCTCACATGCACTAACGAAGGGTCCGACGGCGACCGAATTAAGACACAGTGACGACCCCGCGCGGGCCAGCCCCGCTCGCGTCACTTGTCACGTCGCGGGCAGGTCCTTCCGCGTCACTCGTCACGTCGCGGGCAGGTCCTTCCGCGTCACTCGTCACGTCGCGGGCAGGTCCTTCCGCGTCACTTATCGCGTCGCGGGCAGGTCTTCCCGCGTCACTTGTCGCGTCGCGGGCAGGTCTTTCCGCGTCACCTGTCACGTCGCGAGCAGGTCCTTCCGCGTCACTCGTCACGTCGCGGGCAGGTCCTTCCGCGTCACTTATCGCGTCGCGGGCAGGTCTTCCCGCGTCACTCGTCACGTCGCGGGCAGGTCCTTCCGCGTCACTTATCGCGTCGCGGGCAGGTCCTTCCGCGTCACTCGTCACGTCGCGGGCAGGTCCTTCCGCGTCACTTATCGCGTCGCGGGCAGGTCCTTCCGCGTCACTCGTCACGTCGCGGGCAGGTCCTTCCGCGTCACCTGTCACGTCGCGGGCAGGTCTTCGCGCGTCCCATCGGGGCCTCCCTCAACGCTTGTGGAGGCACACGCTGGCACACTTTGAGAGTTGTAATGAAAATTATTACTTGGCTGCCGCAATTAACTGATTTATGGTAATTGATCATCAGGTGCCGTTTGCCGCTGCTGCCTCTGGGACAGCTGTGGCGGATTTTATCATCTGAGCTAAGCAACCACTCCAACATGGAGAGTGGCATTCCTGTGAAAACCTTGAAATTTGGCCTCCGAGACGTCTTGCTTCATATCAATAACACTAGTTTCTGTCACGGAAGCGTTGCACTCCTCTTGGAAGTGCGCCAGTGTGATTCCCATTTACAAGCACGATCCATTAAAAGCCTGAAATTTTCGGCCACTTTCTACAAGGCATCTGTAAAATAGTCGATAAAATGGTTTATCGTCTGCTCATCTTTAGCTCACACACCATCATTTTTCAGTTCTGACCAGTACGGCTTCATGGAAAATCACTCAACTTGTAATGCACTTTTATTGATCTCCCGTGGTGTTACGGGTCATGGGCCGATCAGAAGTGACCCTTTGGAATTCGATCAACTTGAGCAGCTGTTTGAATTCGTGGACCACTCGATATTGCTATCAAAGCTACGGCAGCTTCAAATACCCACAGGATGGATCCAAAGCCACCTGGAGGGACACATGCAGCGTGTGAGGGTTCACCAGACGCTGTCAGAAGCGATCAAAGGGTGTTTTCTCGAGCCATCGCTATGCATCTTCAGCATCGATATCGCGTGTTTTATAGCACATATAAGGCTTCCGTGTACCAGTAGCCCTTCGTCGCCATCGTCATTGGGGCTTTTCGACGCACTCAGCTGCTGCGGCTCTAGTGTGTCGCCCGCGTCTCATCCAGGCAGGAAAAGCGGGCACCGCGGGGTAGCGAACCCCGCGCCTCCTGTTTCCAAGACGCGCGGCATTCAGCGCAGACGCGCTAACCATTACACTACTACACTCATGAGACCACCCAACCTCTCATGCGCTCACAATAGTCCGGTAAACTAATGACGCGCAACTGGTCACTACAGGCCCTCGAGTCAGTGTAGCAAAGATGCGGCAGTCACTTATCAGTGCTGGACGTGGCGCGCACGTGGTTTTTGCAGCGCGGGGTGATGGTAAATACCGCCAAAACCGAGACGTTATTGTGTGACGACCGCTGACAGCTCAACCAAACCAGAGAGTATCCGGCTGTAGTGTGGATCACGTGTTAGTGTTCAGCTGCGCAAAACCTCAGGTTCGTAATGGATCCATTGTGTCATACAGCCGACACATTATCAGGTGGCAAACAAAGGGGTTGACATCCTTATAACCATTCTAAATAATAAGCACGCACTTCTTCTAACCGGGTTACTTGAACCACTGATGCCTTGCTCCTGTCCCACGTACGTTACCGTGTACAAGCCTAAGGTAGTGCGTCGTTCGAACATTCGAAAACTGCGGAAAGCCTTCAGCTTTACCGCCAGGGTCATCCCAGGCCGACTAGTGTTATAAAAAACGCTATGAGGCATACCTAATATTGAAGGGCTGCCGCGGACAGCCATAGCATTGATACAGCGTCCGGAGTGGGCGGCATCACCCCGTTGGCACTCAATATCACATACACACGTTTCACGAAATGTCCACAGTTCCAACTGCAGCAATATGCCCGTCGGCTGTTGAACAGGAACGGGCGCGTCAGGAGCGGACGTCTCAGGGGTGGACGTCCTCATGGGTGGATGCACTCAGAGGCGCACGTGCATCGCCGTGCTCAACCCATTGCACATTTTGTACATCACCCAGCATTCGCGTTAAGCTAACTGTCGCATTCGCACTCTTGTACTGGCAAATCCAAATCATGCGCGCGTTTGGGTACTTGGCTGGCTCACGTCTACCACTTGACGATCGACTCGCCTTGGCTCACCTACCATACTATCTGAGCATCTGGCGTGTGTTCGCCATCTGGTGGCCCGTGCCTAGACTAATGCACCCATCCCATGGGTTAATGGCAATTCGACGTACTTTGTTTTCGCCGTCAGCCAGTGCTAGTGCAGCCGCGGCTGTGTACCCTGCATGTACTATGTTGTATATACTTACCCGTACGACTGTATCAATCACGGATATCAACGTTTGCCTGAAAGCGAACCTGAAGCTCACGAGTCGCTCAACTCCCACTTGCCGTGATCCGAGGATTCTGATGTCTCCGTCCTCTCAGCAGAAGTCTCCGCAGACTTTCTCATTCAACGATGGCAGTCGAAACACCTCATGTTTCACAGGTAATGGTGTATTGGGTCCGTCCTGCGACAGGCGGACACACTGCGCGGCGCCGCCAGAGGAGGAGCGGCTGGTCCGGGCTCGCCGCCTCCGGCCAGGCCTCGACCACGCGGCACCGAGCCCACGGTTTGCCCACGCGACGCTCATAGAGGCCGGGGGCGGCGGCGCGACCGGGCGCCCTCCCCGGTCGGTCGCTCACCACAGCTCGCCGTCCTTCTCCTTCGCCGGCACCTCGATCAGCCGCGGCTTGTCGATGATGCGCGCCGTACGGTTGCCCTTCTCCACGATGCCTATGATCCAGGCCTGGTAGCCTTCGGTCTTCTCGATGTCCTTGCAGTAGGCGGCCGCCTGCTCCCGGGGCAGACAGATCAGCAGGCCGCCTGTGGGCACGTCCAGCGGCGGTTATAGCGCGTCCGCTCGGCTGGCGTCCACCGGCGGCTCCGACGCTTGACGCCCAAGCGGGGACGTGGTCCTCCTCTTGTGTTCCAGCTGATCAGATCCCCCCCCCCCCCCCCCAATGACACCGTGGAGGCCGTTAAATGATCAGACCAGTAGGGTCACCTGACGAAATGCGTAACACAAAGGGCTTTGCCCCACACGCAATTCCTGATCGTTCAAATGGCATGGACCACATAAGCCGATGTGACGGATGATCTGCTACTCATGCGTCCCGCCTGCTTCACAACTTGTGTTCAGATTACACCTTACTTCGCTGAACAAGGCACAAGTAATCCCGTGAACTACCGATCGCATGCCAGTCAAATTCGCCACGACCGGTGCTTCGCAGTCGGTAAGCGTGCCGACCGTGTAATTCCCAGTGTCATTCGATAACGCCGCCGACCGAGCCCCGCCATACCGGAGGTCTCCGCCGAGTTGCCCTGCAGCAGCTGGAACATGTTGCCGCACGCCTTGGCCACGGCACCCATCTTGGCGATGACAGGCAGGTTGTGGATGACGAAGGACACCGCGTTCTTCTGATTGCGCGCCAGGTTCTGGGCGTGGCCCAGCAGGCCGAAGCCCGTCACGTCTGTGGCGCCGTGCGCGTTGTACTTGTGCATCAGCCTGGCTGTGATGCGGTTGAGACGCGCCATCGAGTCCATGGCGCGCGCATACGCCTGTCGCAGGCAGGGGTCATCAACACTGCGCTCGGGCCGTCACACAGCACAACAGTCAGGCGACGTCACACACTAAGCCGACACAGTGCGGCGGTCCGTATCGCACACTCGCCGTCAGCAGGACGCCCGTCGCCGAACACTTCCGGCGTCAGGAGTAGCTGTTGAGATGTCCGAAGACAAGAAATTTCCAGTAGCTGGCTGGAACCGCCGACCTCCGGCCAATTTGTTGACGCCAGGTCCCCTCCCCCTCCCCCCGCTGCGCGGTCAGATAGCGGTGGGATTATCGGTTCGTACCAAACCGCTCCCCGCTTCTCACCAACTAGGCGATAGTGATCCACTTTACCTCGCGTACTATCTCGTCACTTACCCGAGGAACTGTAGGCAATTCGCTTTTCTTTGAACTCATCTGGCGACTCCTGAATATTTTGCTCTCAGGTGGTCTAGACGGAGCGGGAACTCAGACATTTGGATTCAGGGTTGGAGTACTTTTACCCCACATTTTCCTTTCCTTCTCCCACATCATAGGCGAACACTTTTTCGCTCATATGTACAAGGTCGAGTTAAAAGAAAATGCCCGTATTTTGATATTGGTGTCTCTTGGCAAAATTGACTGTGCCTAGTTTTTTTATATTTTGCGTATCACCAACTGCTTCAACTAGCTCTGTTTGCCACCTAACTTTTGCCGCGTTCATGCTTTCCAAGCGAATGTGTTGATCTAACTCATTTAAGAAAGCGTTGAATTTAATACATGCCACAAACATTACAAAATTGCTGACCCTTCTTACCATCCAACTATGTCAAGACCACTCAACATGCTGCTATGCTGCCCGGTTAAAACAGAGAGCCTGGGAAGATTATCCTCTTGGCCTGCATACTACTTGAATAATAAACCTTCTTTTACTGTGATCGTCACCCCAAAACAGGAAGGTAATGGGTACAATCGAAGGGAGGCTGGGGGAACATGTTCACCTAAATCTTGTCCGAGCTTTTGTTCTTCCAAGTTAGTTTCCATCCCCTATCTCAGCTTGGACCAAATCTAAATAACAAAAAAAGGTGCAATACCAATTGCCGATTGTTGGCTCTAAGAACCTGATGCACGTAAAAACGACTTCAGTTGATGAGAACGTGTTCCACTCAGGTGTGGGCCAACCTCCCATCCCATATTCTGAAACGTCTGACAACTGAATAGCCATGCAGCATCCCTTTAACTTATAAATCTGGACTTGCGGGATTTAAATGGAGCTCCAAATTTGAATATCAAAAGCCGGAATGTTAATAAGAAAGATTCAAATAATGACTGCTAGGTTTAAAACTGCATGGCCAACTGCAATTAATTGTGACAGCTACAAAGTAAATGAGGATATTGTATTTAAAATACTTTCTAGGCCAATATAGCCTTCCATTAACTCAAACACATACGCATGGATTGGTGCCCCATCAGATTAGGTTACATACCTTTGCTTTATTGGTATATCAGTGTCATTTGAAGACTTAAATGCGAAAATTTGAAGGTATTAAACTATACCAAGAATGATCCATTTCCGGTCAAAATCCAGACCAACATCCCCATACGCCAGGACTTGCACAAAAGCACAAAATGCTGGGAATCATCAGCTCCGACCAGCTTTCCTATCCTGGCCTAATGCAAACCCATTTTGACACAAAATGTAATACCTCTGAATTTCGAAACCTTTCAGCATGTCTGCATGAAATTATTCAGTAGCCCATTTCTCAGTGAAACGAGCAGTACAACGAAACACTTCAGCTCATTGAACTTAGGATGACGTCTTCTCTGTTCAGTCAACTTCCCACATGTTGTGGGGTCTAGGCGTTCTACGCATCGAGAACTATCTAGTGCCCGAAGTACCCGACGTTTCTTCTTGCAATCTGCCCAAAATGTTCATCCATGTACACAAATGAACAAAACACCGACCATAGGAGAACTGCACTGATCCTAACGCATCTTCTCGTCCTACACCTTGAGGTCTGAAATACTTCACCTCTAAGAAACTAACCATTAGCATCGGTTTCGCGTTTCTTCTTTTCCTCCCTGCATCGCTTTCAATGAGTCGGCGAAACCTGGGCTGATGCACATTATCAATGCCCACTATCCGCTTTCGTATACAATTTTTCTTCTTCAAAACACATGGACAATCCACTAACGACGCAGCCATGGGCGCCGTTCACGCCATGCAATGGCCGATCACGCGCCGAAGAGCCCGGAGAGCGGAGACGACTCCGAGAGAGGCGGAAAATTTTCACAGACAGCGTGACCGTCTGTGGGGGGTCTCAGGGAATCCCCCAGGGTCGTCCCCTGCCCTAATCCGGCACCCGGAGACCGAATGCAGAAAAAATTGGCGCGGATCGGCCGTCCGTAATATTGTGCAGTGCGAGCACAGACAAGAGTTGGCCCGGTGGAAGGTTTAACGATTGGAGTGTGGGTGACAACCAATGGAGTGGACGTTTGCAAAAAAATCATTTGAGATGGTTTGCTGCACGACACTGAGTAGCGCGACGTGTACGTGCCCGGCATTCCTTGCTTAGTGTGGGTCATGTGTGGTTTTGTGCGAGGAGAGCTTCGCGGGCTATTCTATCTAGTATAAAACCCGGCAGTGTTGGAAAACTTGACTTTTCCTAGTATGATGTACACCAGGAGATTTTGTACTCCCGGATTATGACTAGGTAAAATTAAATATTTTATACTCCATCATGATGCAACAAGAACAGCTTTTGGAGAAAAAAACTAATTTTACCTCTCTGTGTCAGGATAAAATAAAACCAGAAATGCGCAACGGCTTGATACTTGCTGCTTCCATCAGGAGCCATGTACCGATATCTGCAAGAGCGCAAGTCTTGCACCCACCAGACTAAGATGCCCAATAGCAAGCAGCCTGTGTTGCCAACTAGGTATATGATAAACCATGTATGAAAATGTGAAACATAAAGCGTGTGAATGTTGAATGGAATCGCCTTTGAACAATACCGGGAAATGAGAAAAGAGTACCGGAATCGCACCGGTCTCTAGATAAGCAAAGCTCTCACTTCCTATGTCCTACGCAGACCAACTCAAACTTGAACATGACTTAACCTACCACTGACGACGAACCGCATCAATTGCAAAGGATGCAACGAACATTCATAGAAAACCGCACGCCCAATCACCTACCGCATACGGCCGCCTACCCGCGCGCCACCAGTGTCATGGCAATACAAATATGAGAATCACTCGCAATTCCGCGTCGGAAACGTCTCAACCATTCAGCGGCTTGTGCCCGCCTCCCAGCTCAGGTTGGAGGTTGAACATACAAAACTCTCCAATTGGTTTTAATAATTCGCCTCCTTGTGACTGATTTGTCAAAAGCATAAATATTCTGCTCGCGCTCATGCCTTGTACAGATTTGTTAACATTTGGAGGGAAGCTATATAGAAATGGGCATCACGATTATGAAGAACTTATTTGTATTCATCCAGAACTGCCATCTGGTTGGATTTTTGGCCACTTCCTGGTATCCGGAGTACAAAAATGTTACGACAGCTGTGGACTTAAACCAGGTTAAATTTGTCACTTAACGGTGTGAAATTAAAGCTGGTAATTCAGGCTTTACAAAGTACCCTTTTAAGTCGAGAAGCGTTGCCGTAAATAGCAAAACACAAAATCGTTCGGGGACAGCCATCTCACCCCGGCAAAAACACCAGGACACCAGAGTAACATGAACTCACAACTTTGGCCCGGCAAATTAAGGACATCTGGCCTTATTTGGCCAAAATCATCAATTAATTGTAACATAAATTATCATATTTCGCAATGATATTGGTTGAAGCGCATCAAAATCCATTAATACATTGCATTATCAGCCGCAGTCAGCGGAGTGACCGACTCCGATCCCTTTTGGCCGGCCTGTACGGATCTACCAGGCATTGTACTTGCGCTGGCTCGGTAAATCGGTTAAGAGTGCTGCCTGTCTCTATTGTTCGGGTGGGACGTGCAGGGTCTCGTGTGTTGACCGGGAGTGGGAAGGTGGGGGGCATGACTGTTTAGCTCTTTTCAAAACCAGTTAGCTGGTGGGGCGTGAGTAGCGTGACCGTGGTGAGGCGTGAGTAGCGTGATCGTGGCGAAGCATGAGCAGGTGGCCGTCTGTGGCATGTTCATTTGCATTTTTGGGGTACCATTTTTGTCTGGTTGTGCGTATCGTACCCACTCTCCATTTTGGAGGGTGTATAAGCTCGGTGTGTAGCCACCCCCCATTTTGAAGAGTGTATAAGCCCGATGCGTAATTACTCTCCGTTTTGGAGGGTGTATACACAGAGCCTTTCATAAATTGCAAACCAATGTATATGCACATGTGTTTCATATTACAAAGTACCAGACTGTGTTGTTTCAGTGTGTCATGTTTAATAATAATGTCCTTTCATTTCGAGTGCTTTTACATGTATTGCTTACATGAAAAGTGTCGCTTTTGTTGAGTGTCGCTCACTGTACTATTATCTCTCCTAAGATGACCTAAATAAAGCTGCTATGACCCGCAGCACTTGGATAATTTTGTACTCCACTATATACAAAAATTGTACTCCGCTACCAGGAAAACTTCTCGAATTTCCAACGTGGAAATCCGGAGTATAAATTTCATCAGAATTGAATCCCCGACGAAGTGCCATATGCCAACACCGCTGCCAGACATTTGAGACGACGCTTGGGCTTAAGAAGCTGAAGATGTTCTGGAATGGTGTGGTCTCCGTCGACACGGAGCGCTAGCTGGGTGGCGGCTGAGGCAATGTACGCCTCTGGTCTGTCACAGAACTCATATCAATTACTGTCGGTGGCGACTTACTTGTCGGCTGGCCCGAAGTCGCCGGACTCCTTTGGAGCACTCAAAAATCCCAAGCAGAAAAGTTATTGAAGCTTGGATCACATCGTGAAACCGCATTCATCAAAATCACGCATGCTAGTTCATTTCTACACGCAGCGCGGCGAACTTTTCCATGAACCTACGTACCTTCTTGACGTCGTCCTCGGTGACCACCAGCTTGACGCGGTTCCAGCGTTCTGGCTGGTCCAGCCACTGATGGGCGTTGACGGCCACCTGTGTTCCGAGCGGCTTGGTGAGCACCAGCACGTCGCCCATGACAGCCGCATCCGGCAGGATGAACTCGTTGGGCTGGCAGACGGTGGTAGCCACGCCACCGATGGTCACCCAGGGGTTCATCACCGACTGGCCGCCGGTCACCGAGGTGCCCGCATCCGCCGCCGCATCCTGCCCAGCACAGCACGACCGCGTCACGTACGATTTAACGTTGCGCGCCGTGCACACCTCCTCACTAGCACACACAAGCATCTTATGGTACACAGTGCTTAAAGTAAGAAGTGCTTAACATGAGCTTAGGTTGTGCTGATTACCACTGTCACTGCATCTGGTAACCAGAACTTGATATTACTATTTCTTTAACAGGTTAAGCACTTATATTTACTATTAGACAAACAATGTTAAATATCTCACTTATGTTTTAGCTCTGAAACATGTGCTCAAATTCAAACTTAATGGAATTAAGCACAACGGATACCTCAACTATAAAATACTGGCCCCAGGCAACAATTTGAAACCAGCAGTTCCATGTCTGAGCCACAAATACAAAACTATACTTCACAGATATGTAGTGCCAAAAATACTACTGACCTTCAAAAGCAATTTTAACAAAAATATACAAACTTTCATGACTATCATTGCAAATGGGCAACTTAAAACATGTTAAGTAGCTAAGTCCTCCCATGTCTATTATTTATTGGGTAAAAGCTCAGAACACCAAGACACATATTGCAAAAAAATCACCATTGCATATTCTGTTACCAGAAGCCAAATATTTACATCAGAGGGTGTCAATCTACCAGCAGTAAAAAAAAATTGATAGAGCTATATGAAATACAAGCAACACCTCCTTGCATTAGTCTCAAATTTGATTTTTTGACTGGCATGTCAAATTCCTTTATCTTTGCCTAAGGACCTTGATGTAAACTAGCTCCAATTTTTAAGAACTTTCCCCTGAAGCAATGTGTCAGTGCAGTGGTCTCCCACAAAAATGAGGTGTCCAGCCTTTAACCTTTCTGTATCTGATTGGCAGCTTTCTTGACCAACAGCTCAAAATTAGAAAGTCAGATAAGCAGATACATAGCCAACATGGCCCACACAGGCAAGTTAGCCTCTTGTTTAAAAGCACAATGCACAGTATTCTGCTTAAATCTTAAAACATAACACAGGTATCACAACATGACAATGTACCTGAATCATCCTGCATCCAATGCAGAATTCCACAAACCAGACATGCAAAAAGCAATAACAATTGTCTGACCTTGAAACCACGCATCATCAAAGGGATGACGACATCACGCTCCTTCTCAGTCAGCTTGGTTGAGATGCCCAGCAACATCAGCATGTTGTCACAGTCTGTCACGCCCATGGCGTACATGTCCGAAAGCACATTGGAGCAGGCAATCTTGCCTGGATGGGTAAAAATGTTTTAGGTGAGAATCAGGTCATACATTTCAAACTGTGAGTAAAGCACATATCTGAATTGAAGTCCATTAACACTGACCCAGTGGTAAAGTTTCTAGATGTATGTTTGCAAACAACAAGAATGTGTAATCCAATGCACCCTGACATGTATATTCTGTGATTGTGATATAAAGTCAATATAACAAAAAAGCAAGCTATACCAGATGAATGATACATATGACATATTCTACAATCTTTTTACAAAATACCTCATGGACACTAGCCTGACACTTGTTTTACACGCTTGTCTAAGTTTTTAACACTTCTTTAAGCCTGACACTTGTTTTACCCATCATATATGGATCTTCCACTAGTGGGTAGAAGAAATCTGTTGTTTGAACCAGCGACAGCCCTCCATGCCTCAGCGGGGTAATTGACGCATCCATTCCTATACCTGGAAAACATGTTGCAATGTTAAAAGCTGGAAGTCAAATCAAACAGCATCAAACAACTTAAATTCGAAGACATTTTCACTTCTATGGCTAGCCAGGTCAAACATCTCAAAGGAAAATCATTAGAGCACTGAAATCAAACATTGAAATGAACTGTTCTAGCACAAAAGCCTTCAATATTCTGAACAACCAACAAATGGTCATGTAGAAATTATTGTAGCATGCAATTCTCATAACAGTAATGATTTCTTACCAACTCTTGGTATTTGAAGGTGCATAAAATGGGCATGTTCCTGATCCTGGGCACTCGCGTCATCCTGAAGTCCCTCCAAGAGTTTCAGAAGAATCTCTTGAGGGACCTTACACCCTCATCCTTTCAGATCAGCGAAACGCGTGAGCCGGAAGTTTGCATCCAACTCATGTGCCAACGGATCAAACGGTCGTCTGACCAGAACATTGCCCCCGAGCTCGAGCTGCGCAGCAGAAAGCGCGTCGTCGCTCGCTGTCGCGTTCTCCATCGGTGCAGCGCAAACAGCACGCTTCAAATTTACCGCAGCTCGGAAACACACAGGCCAACGCACCACCCATGCGCCTGCCCCGCTAGGAAATGACGGCGCCCCACAAAATGATGGCGTCCGGATCACGGGCTCTTCTGGGTCTGTGATTGGCTGAGACGATGCACAGCGCAGCACGGGGAGCGGTTCGTTTTCGATAAGGGAGCTCAGAGGCTGCTTAGAGTTCCACAACAACAATCGCACTCACTCATTTTGGCGCGGCAAGTCTAGAAGTTTGCCGCAGTCTTAAAGTAATGCTATATTTTACCGCACTTTTACCGAGGCGTGTTTTCCTTACACGTGGCTTTATTTTGCATGTATAAAACAATGGTTCAATGGGGTTTTAAGACTCAATATCCTTGGGACTTTGGGATATGTAGCGTCGTGAAGCAATCTTTGAATTTGGGACTCTTTTCAAGAATGAAAATAAGCCATTGGATACCGGTTCTCAAATTTTAAAACTTATGCGTATACCTGTGGCTATATGAGAATCCATCTTCCTGTGTGCAGCCCTAGAAAACTAGGCGTGCTACATGCACATATAGCGCTTATTGTCTTCACATCATGGTGGATTCTCACAGTTTGAGACTGGGTATTTCGGAAAATATATGAAGAAATGAATTAACATTGACTGGTAAATGACATCAAAACCAAGCACTGCTTTTGATTCCAATGTCATTTACTGATGGCCGGCAAGTCGATGCATGAGCTGATGGTTAATGATGACTAATTCAGAGTTTTTGCTTTGACTGTTGTGGATAAGAATAAAATATCTTAGCGTTCCAAACATGTTAAGAACGCGATACACAAGTATAATAGTATCGCGGCACTGGCCGTCCGCGATCTCCGGTAAACGACACAACCGGTGGATGCGCGATATATATGTATATTATGTGCAGGTGGCCGAGTTGACCTCGTATGAAGATCGCGCACGTGCTCCCGGCGTCGCAGCGTGGGACGTCAAGCTCGCCGCACCGTAACTAAAAACTATTAGATTGTGTTACATGATCGAGAACGACTACTGAGAGGACACTGTTAAATAACAATTGAACTTCACAACTAATAATAATAACATCCCTATCCACAATCGACACGAATTAAGTGGGTAATTACAAAGACAGAAAATAACCCACATGAAACATTTCACATACATTCAAGGTCTGGCGCAAACGAACTTGTATACAAACCCAACGCGGTAGGCACAGGCTTAAAACGCCACCGTGCGTTGACCGCCACAATAGGTGTCACGAAGTCAAATAAACGGAAATGACGCATTCCACGTCAGCGGCACGTAAGATGATGTTCGACAATTCGGCGTAAAAATTCATCGGTGCGTATCCGACTTGTTCTCTAAAGATAAGGCACCAAGGCCGGAATTTGAGCAAACATGGGACGGAATAACTAGACTGGAGCTGAACTTGAGCGACCATGGGCGCCGCGGCAGGCCAACAAAGAAGCCAAGGCCACCGTGGTGGACCCGTGAACGATGGGAGTGCCCCGGCAGGCTGACATATAACGCCCCGGCGGAGAACAGGGCCTTCTAAACAAAGGGAAACTACCCAAGACTAGTGTGCGAAAATCAATACCCCCGTGCGGTCGGGAGTGCCCGGGCAGGTTAACTGAAAGGGACCTGATTGGAGTGAAGCGTCCTTCGAAAACGAGATCAAAGTTAAAGGGCCCTAGATCAAAGAACAGGGCCCTTGATCATCGCGTGGCTCGGTGCCTTACGTTATATGGGCTCCAGCAACAGCACAAGACCCTCCAAGCGAGTGGAAAAAAACACGAGACTGTTATGGACGGCCCCCAAGCAACCAGGGGCGGATGCAGGATTTTGTGAAGGGGGACCATGCGGCATTGTGGAGACCCTTGAAGTTTGGAGACCCCTCAAAAAATATCACTGCATTTCGGTCATAACATTTTAAGACAAGTCATATTAATATATATATATATATATATATATATATATATATATATATATATATATATATATATAAGGGACATAACATTAATCATCTTCATAAATAGATAATAGCCAATGGAAATGACCAGATGTCGGCTGCACATAACATTACGTTCGGCAATCGCGTGTAAAAATTCATCGGCGCATATTCGACTGCTGCTCTTAGGCAAAGGCACCACGGCTAAAAGGGACAAAACGTGAGCGATCATGGGTGCCGCAGGAAGCCAACAAAGTGGCTCCCGTCAACAAGTATAGGCTTCTCAGAGCGAGCAAAAATAACCCAGGACCGACGTGGTGAGCTCCTAAACGATCGGTAGCGCCCCGGTGGCGTGACATATAAGGCCTCTGCCCGACCACAGAACTCTCCGAGCAAAGAGACTTACCTAAGACCATGAATTAATACTCTCTGTGCGATCAAGAGTGTGTGGACAGGTTAACACCACCAGCCTCGATAGCAGTGAGGGGCCCTCCGCAAATGAAACCATAAGTAGAGAGCCCTCGATCAAACTAGAGGTCTCCTGGGCAACGAGTTTCTCCTCGTCTTACCTTATAAGAGCCTGGCAACAGCACACAGCCCTCCAAGCAAGTGGAAAGAACCCGAGACTTATATGTATGGCCCCTGAGCAACTGAGTGCACCCTGGCGTATAGGGCCCCGGAAAAAAAAAAACGTATGGAGTCCTTCGGGCGAATGGGAAGAATCTGTGGAGGAAAACCTGATCGATCAACAGTGCTCAGGCGTGGAGGCAGATAGCGTCCCAACAGCACATTAGGCCTTACGAGATAATGCAAAGCGATCAAGGGCAACGTGGGAAGCTATTGGTGATCAGATTCACCCGGCAAGTGGACATATAGGACCGTGCAACCAACAGCGTAATACCTCTAGACAACGTAATGAGCCCCAAATTTTCCCCCAAGCAACACTCTCTCAATCAGCAAAGGATGAACTTTGTCCGTTGATGAACTCTTTACCTTTTGCTAACAATTATTCTTGGTCGTCTGTACGCCCTAGGGCGTCCAAATTTGTTGTTTTTTCTTGTAAGAAAACTGCTTCTGTCCCGGTGGTTATCAGCCCCTTCAGAGCCCTTACGTCCCCTCGGCATGGTTCATAGGGCATTGTCCCGTGTCTCCCCCCCCCCCCCCCCCCCCCTCTGCATCTGCCAACGGCCCGACCAGCTTAATAGAAGGGGCCGATAAGAAGATAGCGCCATCCATTCAAATAAGAAATACTCATGCCACAATGTGTAGAGCTCTGGACGATCGAATGCGCCCCAGCAGGTTAACAAATAGGGCACCCGTCAAGAGCAAGGGCCCTCCATTCAAAAAGGAAGGACCCAAAACCCAATGTAGAGCACCCCCGGATGATCGAGCGTACCCGAGCAGGTTAACAAATAGGGCTCCCAACAAGAGCGTAGGGCCCTCCATTCGAATGGGAAGCACCGGAGACCCTACGTAAATGGCACAAGAATGATGGAATGTGCCCAAACAGCTTATCAGAAGGGGCCCAACAAGAGCGTATGGCTCTCCATTCAAATTAGATGTACCCAAAACCCAGTAAGGAGGGCCCCGAAAGATGAAATATACCCGAGCAGATTATCAGGTGGCTCAGGCAGGAGTGTAGCGCGCTAAATTCAAACACCAAGACCGGGCCCCCGACAATCCAGTGTGGTGGAAGCAGCGAACAGATGGGGTGCTCAACAATTGCGTAGGCCATTGAGATAGGAAGCACCCAAGACACGATGTGGACACGAAGGCCCCGGATATTTAAGTGTTCCCCAGCATATTAACAGATGAGGCCCCGTCAAGAGCGTAGGGCCTTCCGTTCAAATATGAAATACCCACAACGCGATGTAGACGGTCACGAATAATCGAGTGCGCCCAAATAGGTTAACAGATGCGACCCCGAAAAGAGCGACGGGTCCTCCATTCAAAAAAGAAGTTCCCAAAATCAGATGTAGCGGTCCGCTACAATCGAATGGGCCCGAGTATCTTATCAGAAGGAGCCCCGACAGGAGCGTAAGCCCCTCCATTCAAATAAGAAGCATCTAAAACTCGGTGCGGAGGGCTCCAAAAGGTGGAGTGTACCCGGAAAGGTTATCAGATCACCGCGATAAGAGCAGAGGGTATTACATTCAAACACCAAGAACCAATGTGCAGTGCCCCCCAGCTTTCCGGTGTGGCCAAGGAAGCGAACGGAGGGGATCCCTGACAAGTGCGTAGGCCCCCGTTCAAATAGGACGCATCCAAAGCCCGACGTAGAAAGCCCCCGAAGGATCAAATGTGCTCGAGCAAGTTATCAAATAGCCCCCTTCCCCACAAGAGCGTAGGGCCTCCCAAAAGGAAGTACGGACTTCGGAAAAGAAGTACCCAGGATCCAGTGTGGCGGGTCCCCGAACGACTGAATGTGCCCAAGCAGTCTATCAGATGGCCCCCGACAAGAGTGTAGGGTGCTAAGCAAGTGACAGAGAATTGGAAGCGCCTTAGACTACTGTAAAGGGCCCAGAGCAAATCACCAATCTGTCGGTAGGCTAACCGAGATCCACGTAAAAGGCCCCTGAGCAACCGAGAATACCGCGGCAGGTTAAGGTATGGGAACCCGGCTATAACCCATACAGCCTTTCTGACGAATGGAAAGAATCCGTGGTAGGGCCCGTGATTGACAAGAGTGCCACTGTATACTAGCAGGAAGGGCCCCAACAACGCAGGGCCCTCCGAACAAATGCAAAGAAATGAAGGGCAACGTGGAAGCTCCTTAACGATCGGAATGATCCCGCAAGTGAGCACATAGGCCCACGGGAAACAGCATGGGCCCCTAGACAGTGTAATGGGTCCTACAATTTCCATTTCACAACTCTTTCAATCACTGATTTTTTTACTTCTCATACGCCCTTCACTTTCGCTTACAACTGTTCTTGGTCGCCTGGAAGTCCAGAGATATCCAGTTTTGTTACGTTTTGTGTTAAAAAAACTGCATCTGTTCGGCCGGCTATGAGTGTGCGAGTACCGAGTATAGCGCGCGAGTAGTAGTATCTAGACCGAACGGTAGATGGCAGAGCGTCTCGCGGAGTACGGAAATACAGTCTAGTTCCGACCGCCGACTCGTGTGGACCTTCGC